ATAACTCAATAGTGCAGTAACATGTTGGACATATTCATATTTGGACTACCTCGTCTCAAAATTCAGCTATTTTAAACCCCTTGTTTTGTTGAGAGCCTTTTTATTGTCTCACTCGAGGACAGGCATATGGCTTTTGGGGATTTTCAGCTGTGGATGCTCTGCTGAAAGCTTCAAGCTGTAAAGATCAGAATGTCAAAGAAATGAGCACTGATCAAAAATACCAAACCAGTTTCACATATATGCAAATCATATACAAAAACATACATACATATATATATACTAAAGGTAAATTAAGTCAGCAACATGCCATACCTTCTCACGGTTCTCAAGCAGCAAAACATTTCAGCAACTCAATAGTCAAGCCAAATTTCAGCCATCCACTAACTCACTTAAAAAAAAGGAAAAAAAATCCTGTTTAGTAACAAACAGGGATATTTTCCCCTGCTACTTATCAGTGCATTCTCTAAATCGTAAGTGGTAACTTTCAAAGTCACAACAGTAATACAGAATTGAGCAACCACACCTAAAATCTAAAGGTTTGTGTAAGAATGTTTTCAGTTTCCTCTACTAACAGTGAGTCTTGCCAACATTAAGAGTTGTTACCGTATTTTGTTTTGAGGATGAATATTTAAAGGCATTCCAGTTAGGGAAAAAAAACACCCTAAAAATTACCTATGGACAATGTTTCCTGCTCTTCCTGATGTTCAGGTTTTGTTCTGAAAAAAAGCAAAAAAACAGAGGCTTTCTTTAGGCACTAACACATACCAGTTCATGGAATTCCATGTAAATTTTTACTAAGCCCGAAACTCTCAAACAAATGATAACAATTTAAAATGTACACGCCAACTATTTTATGGAAGCATAATGTAAATACAAAGGGAAAGACACTGTCTTACAACAGTGCCTTGAAATCTTTTATCAGAAGTTTGCTGGCATTCATAAAAACGAATTAGCAATTTTTACCAGTAACTTCTGCACTATGCAGCTGTAGGTTGAGAGTTTTCCAGCAGTAGACAAAACACTGGGCATGTCAGAGTGCAAACATGCACCTAATCATTAGGGATTATGAGGGAAGCTCCCTATTGGCAATGTTTTCTTATATGTTTTCACGCACTCTTTTTTGAAAAACATACTTTTGTTTGCACTTTTCGAAATAACATGCTTGCTAAGTATGATGTTTTCAAGCTGAGATAAGCAGTTATCAGAGAAACACCGTCCGTGTTCCAATACAGCGTGATAGTTCCTATGACTCCCTTGCAAAACACTTGAAGTTTTAAAACTTACTAATAAAAATATACTTAACCAAGAGGTTGTTTTACTAGAAGCAGATAGTGGGAGAAAAAAACATGCTGGGCTAAAATAACCCCAGATTACTCAATATTTTTTGTCTTCTGATTTTCAGCTAGGTGGGCAAGACTGTAATAATGTCATTTTTAGTGTCCGTGACAACAGTCCTAATCATAAACTAAGTTAAATACATTAATAAGCTCTCTGGTAATAAAAGTTTTCTCCTTCTGTAATTTTAGCTTCAGGCATTTGGGCAGAGGATGGAAAAAACCATCTCAATCCGCGGTGACGCTTTACATAACCAGACAAAAGCATCATTGTTTCTTGCTTCAAATGCTGCTTGGAAATTGGTACACTGCTTAGTCAAAAAACAAAAGCTCCTGGTCTTGACCAAGTTTCACCTGCACCCCACCTCAAAGTCACTCACACTTGCTAACACAGAACAAAATATTAACTACGTACAGTCACTTAGCAAAACCCTTCGGCAACACGGCGTTGCACATCGCTGCCATCTCACCTCGGGCCGAGGGTGCTTATTTCGGGTGCTCACCTATACCCCAGGCAGCACTGAGGAAAAAGACTGAAAATAAACAAGATGATAGCGGCTCAGAAAATAAGCTCGGGCCAACCTCACTCGCTGCTTGAAAGGAAACAGTGGCCCGGCCACAGAGACAGTTTCAGCTACTGAAAACAGAGCCCTGGTAGAATTCACCTTAAGATTCACTAAAGAAAAGGTGTTCCCAGCAGACGGCAGAACTGACAACCCTCGGCTCGCGGGCCTTTCGCACCCTCAGCAACAAGGCACGGGTAAGGGACCACTGATCCCGAGCCGAGCCCGAGCGGGCAGAGCCGAACCGAGACGGAACGAACCGAGTCCGGCCAAAGCGAGCTCGCGCCGGGCAGAGCCGAACCGAGCCGAGCCGAGCCGAGCCCGGTCAAGCCGAGCCCGACCCGAGCGGACCCGAGCCCGGCGGAGCCGATCCGAGCGACGCCGATCCGGCCCGATCCGACCCCCGGTGCCGCCGGCCGGGCCCGCGCGTGCCCAGGCGCACGTACGGCCCGCGCGTGCCGGCGCACGGGCTCGCTCCGGCCCCGGCCCGCACCCCCCGCCCCGCCGGCGGGGACGGGGCCACGGAGCCCGGCCCGGTTTCAAAGCATACACTCCCCCTCCCGCACCCCCCCACCGCCCGGGCTCGGCCTCGCACCATCCTCCGGCCGCCGCCGCCGCTGTCCGAGCGGGCCTCTCGAGCAGGAGGGCGGTGAGGTCGCGATGCCTTCCCCGATCCCCTCCTCTCCTGCCCTTCCCTCGAGGAGAGGCGTGGTGAGACCCCCGGCCCAGCCCCGCTTACCGCCGCGGCCGGACGGCGCCCACCGGGGCTCGGCCCCATCGCCCCCACCGACGGCCCCGCAGGGGGCGGGCCCGGGGATTCCCGCCGGGGGGCGGGGCCGGGAAGTGGGCGGGACCATCAGGCAGTGGGCGTGGCCATCGGCAGTGGGCGGTGTCGCCCCGGGGCGGGCAGCGCTTCCCCTCCCGGGCCCCGCTCCGCGCAAGCGCACGCGCAGGCCCCGCTCCCCGGGGCTGCCGTGGGAAGCAGCCCTTCCCATTCCAGCGGGTCCTGCCTCGGGCCGTACAGCTGTGCCTGTAGTAGTTCGTCAGGGACGCGGAAGGGAAAACCCTCGCCACAAGAAGTGTCTGCCGTTCTGCAGAGGGATGGGAGCGGTTTATCCAAATGCCTGCGCACGCCTCACGTTGCCTTTCTGCAGAAAGAGAACACCAAGTGGGCGAAGAACCAGCCGTGAGCTCTGCGGTCCCGATGGGAACGCAAGAGCGGTTTTCCTGCAGTTACACAGAGTCAGGTTGGAAAAGACCTCTGAGATCATCGAGTCCAACCTATGACCTACCATGGCAACTAGACCATGGCACAAAATGCCACGTCCAGTCTTTCCTTAAACACCTCCAGAGACAGTGACTCCACCACCTCCCTGGGCAGCCCATCCCAATATCTAATCACCCTTTCTGTTAAGAAATTCTTCCTAATGTCCAACCTAAACCTCCCCTGGCGCAGCTTAAGACTATGTCTGTGTTACTAATGCTCGATGTACACATACATTTACACATCTATTTTTCTTCCAAGATAGCTGCTGTCAAAATGCAGCTGATACAGGGACATGGAACCTCAGAGCAAAAATGCCTGTTGCTGACAGAGTTAGAAAACAAAGGGATATTAACTGCTAGGGACTGGAGTTATTTGCATGCAATGTATTGCATTTCTAGGCAGGAAAGGTTAAAAAGAGGACTGACAAGGTTTAGGAACTAACTGTAGCTCAGTGAAGCTTTTAATCAAGTTAACACTCTCACAGCCCTTTGGGGATTTTCTTAATTTCCATAACGTGCAGCATGTTTTTTGCTTCACAACAGAAGCCAATCAGTTATGTAAGCAAATTGGTTGCATAATTATGCAGATGAAAAAATAACTTTAATTGATTCAACAGAAACCCGTGCTGTTCATTTCACCTGGGATTTCTTTTAACTTCTTGAGAAATAAAATAAATTGGGAGACGTCATCAGCAAGCGGGCCTGCCAGATAGCAGCTCCATTGCATAGGGTACGTATTCCCAAAGAGAGGCCTCCTCCCCCTGCCCTAGCACAGGAATTAATTCCTGCTTTTTAGTTAAGTCTCAGCACTTAATGTGTGATGGGAGTAGTGCTGTGGCTTTATCTGGTTGTGTTATTCCCAGGACACATCCCACTGGCTCAGCAAGCAGCACAGATTTCCAAATTGAAAGTTTGTTTCATACCAGATAAAATTATCGTCTGAAAAAGTCTGTATTTTGACCACTTGTCCCCTAACAGAAGGAGAATTTTAAGCATTCGTTTTGCTTAATTCTAAGTTGCTACAAGTGGCAATGGAGCTGTTTTCTCCTTACTCCTTTGTCTGTTTCGGTCCTGGATCTGCAGGTCAAAAAGTAGCATGAGTTTCTTGGAGAAACAGTTCCATCACAGGCAATGGTACAGAACTCAGACCAATCATGTCAGCATTAATTTTTGACACTACTCATCATCCTAGCAATTTTAGAAAAAGTTATGCAGAAGGAGCTAAGACTGAAAAATGTAGACCTGGGATCTGCAAAAAAACCTCCCAAAAAACCCAAACCCATGATGACGCAAGATGCATCTGGAGAATGTGAAAGGACAAGAGATGTGAAATAGTCATTGCTTTTAATGTGGCCGTATTTTACTAAGATGAGGAATATGGCATTAAGATTTTAGTAATTAAAGTTCCATTACTATACCAGAGACATTTAATTATTTTTCCTAAAGTGAAACTCTCACTGACATCCACTTGAGTTCTTCAGTAAACTGAGCACAGCCTGTAACCCTGGCTGTAGCCTCATCTCAAGTCTACAGTTACAACTGGAAGCTGGCCATCTCCACAGCTGGGAGTTTCAGCCCAATTTATTCATGAGCATTTGCTACACTATGTGCTCTGGTGTGGTTAAAAACTGCACAGTCTGACTGATTTCACACTTTCTTAACCTCCCCATGCAGCATATCATACTCGAGATTCTTGTAGTAGCTACAAGATATTGAACTGTCCACATCTACTTTGCTGTTTCCCCATCTTCCCACATACCTAAGAATGTTAATTACAGAGATCTGAATAGGGATCTGAATAGAATTAAATAATTTAATGACAATACAGACACTCAGATATCTTGAATATTTTATATAAAGAATAAAAAACCATTTATTAACATCTTAACAACTTCTCCAAAGGGACCCCCCCAATTGCTCTTTATAAAACACAGTGTCAAGCTCCTATTTCCAGCTTTTCACCTCCGTCCCCCATGTGGGTTCAGAAACTCTCAAAACTATCAATGCTTTGAAATAAAACTGTGGTAAGCCTTTCAAACCCCATTATTCTGTTTTAGTTACAAGAAACTGTCCACACCTAACAAAAGCAATCTTTCCAAGAGCATACCGTGTAATCAGTGAAAACTGAAAAATATTTTCACAGAGGCAATTTCTCATGCATCTAACAACATTCCAAAGGAGTGCAGCGTTGTCTACACCAAGCTACCAAGCACAACATAGGAAAGTTTTTATTTGCACATTTTTCTGTCTCCCTCTGCAAAAAGGTACACATACATTTTATTTCCTGTATGAAAAACTTTATCAAATTAGTTGCTTAAAGTCAAACAAAGAAGTTCTTTCAGCTTAACTTACATCTGGGAAAAAGCAAAAATATGGATATTGTCAATATATTGAGTGGCTGGCTCTGCAAAACTGCATTGTCTCTATTGTACTTAACTTTACTCTTCAGAACATTTTTCCATCTTTCCAGGCTTGTTTCCATTCCACACTGGAGTTTTGTCTTGTTTGGCCCATGGAATTTCTGTTACCAAAATACCGAGAATGTCACTCAAGAAACCTTTCTGTCCTTTTGATACACATCAAAATGGCCAGAATTGTATTGTATTTCATGTAGACCTAGGCAGTACAAAAATGTGAAACACAGGACTTAACAGCAAAGTTTTTTAAATTGCCTACTGGTTTGTCATGTGTGTATATATATATTTCCCATGTATATATATATTTCTCATGTATATATATACACACATATATATATATCTACAGGGAGAAACACTATATTGCCAGAAAGACCAGAAGCCCTCGCTGTAACAAAAGTTCTGAGCAATGATATGGGGAGCTTGCATTGCTTGTTAATATAAAACATGACAGAGACTACATCCTATCACAGCTGAAGATGATACTCAGGAGATGAAGCCAAAACATTGCAAAAATTTTACACAGTTCCAAGTTAAACCTGAAGGTCAATGATTAACCTCTGTCTGAAAAAGAAAGCAACATTTGGGTTTTTTTTCTGGGGATGATCTAAGTGAAAATTCAAGGTTGCTTACAGTGGAAAAAATTCTGCTGTCTCTAGAACATCCCAAGATTTGAAGCCATACAGATTACAAAGAGAATTTTGTCCTTCTGCATCTCTCAAACACAGTATTAGCCACATCTGGTACTGCTTACAGAAATGTGGGATTTAGCTGAGTGTCAGATAGCCTCTTAATTTCCCAGGGAAATTAAGCTACAAAGGATCTTACAAAAAGTAATTATCAAAAATTTCTTAGTTTCTCACTACCAGTTTTAGTTCGTTGAAACCTTCCAGAATTGCTCTTGTCATTAATGCTGGAGTGGCTGCAAGAACATCAGTTTAGATCCCTCACTGGAAACCTGGTCACTTCTTACCCAGTCTTTCAGCTCCTGGGAAGCAAATGCGATTGGATTTGACCAGGTAGATGGCCTTACAAATGGCAGAGACAACTCGGTGAATACCAACGGGTGGAACCCAAAGTTTGTTTGAACTAGTGCCAACTGTACTTCAAGAAATTTTGAGGTAAGGGGCTTTTAAAGAAATGCCATCTGATTGTTATTACTGAATCCACCATTTTTTAGAGGGAAGGCAGATGAGATCCTCACAGAAGAATGAAAACACAAGAGCCTCTATCTTTGCATTTTTTTCTGTACAGGTGGCACAGGAGGAAAGTAGTGATCTTGGCTGTCACTGCAGTCAATCCTCTCCTCCAGTAGCAACTCCCAGACAGACTGGATGAGCAGTGGTATTGAAGAAGGTCAGAACCTGGCCCTGAAGAGGGTCAGGAATCTAAGAACTGATAATCAGATTCATGACATTAGATTAATGGCATGAACCTTAAGACGAGAGTGGCAACCTCCCCCAGAGAGAAGAACCACCAACACCCCTTCAAAACCCTCCACAACCATCCAGGAATAAGATCATGGCGGCTTTCATAATTCAGAGGTACTCTGTGGCTCAAACTGCCACAAAAGGACACCTGCAGTAATGCTCCTGCAACTGGGAAGAGACTTATGCTGCCCCAAAGGAGGGAAAGATTTTTCAAACATTCAGGTCTTATGCTACCATCTTGATCTCCCTTATGATGGAACAGCCTTAAAAACACGTGAATTTCTCTACCCAAAAGAGCAGAACTGTTCAGAACAAAAAGCTTTGGAAGGGATGGAGTGCAGGACGAAAAGAGCTGTACTCCTGGCATGTTTGTGAAGGTTGGTACTGGAGATCTAAACTAACACTACACAAAGTGGGGAGCTCAGGCAACTATCAGCTTTGACAGAGGTCCCACTGATTTGCCACAAGAGCTTTTCTGATATGAAATGTGTGTCTCTTCTTACTCAGCCTGCAGATCAGTAGATGGAAGTGTGACTTGAGCGATTCATGCTCCAAATTTGATTCAGAATTTGCAGGTGGGGAAAAAGAAATCCTGAAGAACCAGGAATGGTGGTACAAGCTTGCTAGAAGCCTCCATCTCATCGTGCATTTGGCAGGAACTAAAAAATGGACAAACCCACCTTCCTCTAAGAGCATAACCAAGGGAGAAAGCGAGTTTTCCTCTTCAGTGGAAGTACCCATATATACAAATGTGAAGCTACACACGAGCTATTATCAAGATACAACTAACCCTTCATCTGTGAGCAACATGTGTCTGTGAAGAAAGGTGTCCTAAGTCAGGCATATCTCAAGTGATTTTGAAGTTATTTTCATCTCAGTGCTTTTTATTGGGATCTTGCAGTAAGGAAATTAACATCTAAGGTGCACACAGATGGGTCAACATCCTCACAAGTTACTGTGAGGAAGACAAAAGGAAACATATTACTTCTACGGACTATGAAGCAATGTGGAAAATACCTCACACAAGAACAGTAGATACACTCAATCAGTGCACTTACCTATACTTATACTACACTTACACTTTCACCCGCTGGGAGAAACAAGTCAGTACTAGATTCTCTGTAAAAAAGGAGAATGTAGGTTCTGAGGCTGCAGCTTCCTCAATATCTAATGATGTCATTACAGAACATCTATGTAAGTCAGTGTGACATTTATATACTTAGGGAAAAAATTACTCTTTTTGTGCTACTATCTGCATTATCATCAATATCAGTATTTAAAAACACAACTTGAGTTTGAAACATTGCTGTCAATCTGTAAGGCACAGTCTGGACACAGTGGGAACTGCCTTTATTGCTCTGTATTATTTTGAAGAATGATTGCTTTAACCATTAAAAAACAAAAGTCTTAACTATTTAATGACTACCGAAACAGCCAGACCTCCTCAGCCCATTTCATATTCTCCTGAAGCCATTTTAGAGCAGATGAAAGCTCCAGGCTGTAAACCTCTTCCATATTAACATTCATTGTCATATGCTTAAGAAGAAGCTTTGGATCAGATAAACGAGCTGCTAGAATCAGTCTCTCCACTGCCATTTGATAGACACTGTTATCCTGAACTGTCTGATCTTCACATCTGTAAGAGAATTTTCACAAATACAAAATTAGGTACCATACAGGCCTTGTGTTGCTTGCCTGACACTCTACTGGCAGCAAGATTACAGAAATATTAAAATAAATCCATGTATTCACTTCACTGATAATATATTATGTTAATTTCTAGACAGATTTTAGATTATTATTCTGAAGAATTAATAAGTTAGAAAAAGTATATTTTTAATGTATTTTACAGTAATGAAATGTAGTAGGCTTTAATGCCAGTGCAAAGTAGCTCTGCAATATTCACAATTCATGAAAAAAATATTTGTCTCTGGGCTGGAAAATTCAGTAAAGGAATGCAAACCAAAAAGGTTTAATCATTTTTGGCATGTAATCACTTTTGGAACAAGGCTGTGCCTAAGTTACATGCCTGTATTTTTTGGAAAGAGCAGAACTTACTCTTTAAGAAAACAAGCAGAGGTACAATAGCATACATATCAAAACAAGAGATAAAAACCTCCTCATTTATCAAAGGAACAAAATTAAGAGGTGTATTCCTTGGGAAGGATACAGAGGAAGGAAGACAAAATACTAAAGCTTTGGAGATGCACGAGTTCATAGTTCTTAACAAATGAAGCTTTTCTATGCAGTTACATTTTGATGCTGAGCCAGTCAGTCTCAGAGAAAAGTGGGTCTTGAAAAATAAAATTACAGGTATAACCTAGTGACAATGGTTGGTGGTTTACAGACAAATGGAAAAAAAAGCAACAAAACACATTTCTAATCTGGATATGTTAAGACTCACAGAAAGTGGGAAAAGAAAACACTAATAAATTTAATATTGAGCTATCCCTCATAAAGAAAATTAAATAAAATGGCTTCATGCACTTTCCAAAAAACAGCCAAGAAATGTTAAGAGTTGGTTTTTGAAAGAATTAACATTTTGACTGTGCCCTTCTACTCCAGTACTTAACCACAACACAACAATCTATATAGCAAGGTATCAAGTCATCCCATTTTTGAAAATACAGTACATTCTTAGTGTGGTAGACACATTCAGTTAGGAAACACAAGTCACTATCACTCTGGAACAACTACTTTTCTGCTATACACGTGTAGAAATTATAATGATAAAAAAAACCCCAATTCCGAAACAAAGATTAAAAACAAGTTTAAAACCAAGCATCCTCTTTCCTAGACAGTGGAAAATAAGATCTCTTGTTAATTACCTCATAACATGAACAATCAAAATGGTACATATATGACAACAAACCTTTTCAGTATTATTTGAAGAGTCTGACTAGTAGTCACTGGACTTTGAATATAACTGGCATTTGAAACAAGAAATATTTCAATGGCCAATAGCATCTCAACTTCAGACAGGTAAGATGGAATCTTCAAAAGTTTGTGGTATAAATTTCCCTGCAGCTGTGGGTAGCAACCCAATGATAAAGCATCTGAGAATAAATGCAGAAACATGAGGAATTAGGACCACCAGTACTTAACATAGATCTGTTTTCTTCTGTGTGTGACTAAATGTGGAAAAAACCCAAACCCTTAATAGATTTTACTATTTCACCGATGAAGTGGCCTGATTTGAGAACTTAGCAAATAGTATTCACATATAATATTCACTGTTGTAAAATGTTATTTTTTTCCATGAGTATTATCGGCTATGATTAAAAAGCTCTGACAGAATTCCGGAGACACCAAGTGTGTAATAACACAAGTACAACTTAGGGCAGGTCAGACAGAAGCTCTATTAATCATGATCAAAGTGAGAGAACATTTGAACAGCACCTCCTGCTTTTTTCCCCTAACTTCTGTTAAGTGATCCCAGCAACCCAACCTACATATACAGCATTTTAGGGGGGAAACAAAAAAGAGAGATGAGGAAAACCTATCATTTTAAGGTTAAAAAAGAACAAGAGGGATGGACTCAAAGTAGACTGCTAACCACCACAATTTTAAGACAGAATCAAACAGTAAATAATGTGACAATGTGGAGCGACAACTCTTGGTGGACCCCAGCAGAGTGGCACACCCAGTACTATCTTAGCTCAGAAATGGGGAGTTGAAAACAATTTCTGACTATTAGCTTTTAGTTGAAAGGCATTTTCTTATAGTTAGGATAAACTTCTTAGCCAGACTTCTCAAATCTTACATATTAATAATTTTAGCACCACAGCTCTAAACAGATGTGTAAGGAAATATAATTTGCCTAGATGAAAAAGTGAAGATGATGCAATTTTCAATCATTTCAAGGGTTCACATTTCTGAAAATCTGAAACTGAATATAAAAAATTAATTTTATCAAAATTACATTTACTTCATGCCAGGTAGTATGCGATGATTCTTATTTTCAACTATTTCCTAATAAATATTTTGGTTACAAATAAATTCCTGAGAGTGACACAGAAAGTACTGTTTTTCTCTTACCCATTTCTTCCCAACATACTGAGATGTTATAAGCATGTTATCCAAAGACTGTAAGGGAAGGACACTGTTTAAGAAGCCACTTACTTTTGTAATATGTCCTAGCTTTAGACCACAAAGAACTTCTTCCCAAAGCTGTGATTAATCTTCTAAGTAAAATAAAATCAATAGCAATTTTTTTTGAAAGCATGAAGTCTACTGCAGAAGATGAGACCCCAAGGCTCTTGTTCTCAAAACAGGCATTTATCAGCTTGTTAAAAAGGCAGCTGTACTGAGAAACATCTACAATATCTGAAATGAAATGAAGAATATTAACTACTGAAGTCAAATGCAAATCTAATTGAAGAATCACTTCCCAATCAGTATCTAAATGAGGACTCTTGCTTCTATCAGCAAAATGGAACATGGGATAACATGAATGCTTTTTTCATCAGAAGTCTTTTCATACACTAGTTCATTTATATTGTGAAAGAGAAGTGTTAAGGTCCAAGTAACAATTTGCTGCCCAAACCAAGAGGATCAGATAAAAATACATTCACTTGCTCAAGCTTATAAATACAATCTTTACCTGATCTCTTGGGCTTAAAACTCCCACCAGTAAAAATCACCTTAGTGCTTCCAGTTCTGCTTCGACTCTGAACTGTCCCTTTCCTGGCAGGACTGAACAGCCTTGTTTGTATCCACCTCATGCCTCAAAGAACTAGATCCTTTCAGTATTCTCTAAGTAGATGGTCTTCCAACCAACCTCTCCTAACATTCCTAAAAGCACACACTGGCAACAGACTGAGACCTACACAGAGGAATCAGCTGAGGTTTCCTCAGTGGAGCTTAAGTAACTATGCATCTCATTTTGAAGTACGTGTCCAGAATCTGCAAGATAAATTGAGCCCAAAAGAGCACTTAGTTCTTAGCATGGTATGTAAAAGATGTCTAGGTTAGCTGGCTCAGTTATAGGAAAAAAAAACCCCTAAGGCATTCATCTGAAATTAGGATAAAATTAATCATGCCAATTATATCCCTATTTGATTTCATTGTATAGACTCTGTATGATCCTTAAAAATTTAATGGGTCTTTCCTGTTGCCCTGTGTAATTGAGTCAATTGGAAGAAGAGGACAGGTGTATAAACACTGTGTGTGTGAGAGTGCGCGTGTGTGGCAAGAGCTGCAGAGTAAAATACAAATTTAAACTAACACAACACTCTGGAAAAAAACCCAGGCTTGTCTAAAACCATCTTACTTCTTCAACAAATTTTAGCTGGAAAACAGAAAGAAGAGCACAGAATCATCTTTTAAATTTTTAAGTCTTAACACAGTACCTTTTTCTTTACTTACCAGAATGTTTTTGCAAACCTGGGAAGTTCTGCAGAACTTCAAAAGCCTGCCTGTACAAACTCTTACTCAAGTATCTGTGCACTAGGGTATGTAACAGATTGCGTCGATTGAGGATGTCCATTTTATCACAAGGCCACAATGGTGCATCTGTGGTCCACTCTGACTCTGTGGCAAACAACAGTGCAGTGTTATTTCTGTGAACTGAAACTGCTGGGCGCTGAGGTTTTCGGCCATTAAGAATATACTGTAAACTGTAACATAACATAAATTTCAGATCTGCACAGAAAATGCAGTTCTAGTTATTAATAATTCATTCCTTATGACAAATGCTCTTCTGATGGATTCTCTGAACCTTTATATTGTAAAATATTGTTAAACATCACAAAAGTAAAATGGACTGTCAGTGGCACAAATAAATTTGTAAATATCTATATACATCTATAAAACTGAGTAGCAAATTTTAGATCCTAATATTAATTTATAGAACACATTCTGTTCTTTATACTTCTGAGTTTCTTCTCCTTTCAGCAGATCAGAATTCCAAAAAGCCGGAAATAATATGTTATTTAACTGCAGAAATATGGTTCTATTCTAAAGTAATTATATTAAATGGGGATACTGATAGGCATAAAGAAACACTGTATTGACCCAAGCCTGAAATTTTTTGACACTGAATGTCCCCTGGCTCAAAGGAAATCTACATGGAGCAGGGTCATTTTCCAAGCTGCACTCCTCCCTCATTACAGCAGACTTTTGTGTAGAACGGTGTGGATACCAGACTACTGCAAAAACTTTTCTGAAAAATATTATGTATTATATTATTTCTTATACATATCAAGACTACTACTAACCAGTAAGATGGATCACATTTGCTTTTGTTGTCCCAGTATTATTAACTTTATTTAGTAACATAGAGCAGCTTGTATCTTTTATCTGAAATTTGTCATAGAAGGGAATGGTTCAAATTTAAGTCAAAAGCTTACCTCTCAATACCCTTGTCGCTCCATCCAAACTTCCACAATTAAGGAAGATTTCTGCAGCTTTATTAACAATCTGACATCTTGATGCTGACCTCCCTGAACCTATAAGTCCTTTCAAGAGCGTAAAAGGTATCTGTAGCTCGTGCAGTTTATCCAAAACCTTCCTTCCCTAGTGTAAGAGGGAGAAGGGAAACGGGGAAGGTCAGAGAAAGCAGTGGTATCAGTGAACAAGGAGTGTATTTACACAAAATACAGCAGATTTAATTTAGTGGTATAGATTTATAGGCATCAGTTCATCTCCCCTGACTCATCTCCAAACTGCGTCAGGGGAGAAAACTTCTAAAGCAAAACTCCTAAAGAAGGGTTAAGTTTTTTTTTTTACTATGTAGGCAAAAAACCTTGACCAACCCCTCATTGAAGAGTTCCCAGCACACTATTCCCCACTATTTCTATTATATAATGTCCCTATACAGTATTTTTAATATACTTTGTAATTAATTTCTATCTGCTTAGTTAATTTTTTTATTTTTGATTCCATTCAGCACTACATAATCTGCAAAATTCTAAAAAGATCATACAGGGATTTTTCTTTTTGCAGTAGAGCTACAATTGTTAAATTGAAATCATTACTCCAACATAAGCGAAAGCAAACACTGATAGTTGTATGCAGCAGGACAAAGTTGGGCCTATCTGGCCAACAGTGTAACAACCAACAACTTGGATGACTGCCAAGATTCCAGGCTGATATTCAGACTTGTTTCCTAGAGAAGCTTCATCTTAACTTTTTCGTTGTCCTTTTCAGTCAAAACCGGAAGAAAGGTAGCAGTCTCAAAGATAATTAAGATCTGACCAATCTAAAACAGGTGATGATCAAGTCAAGGTGGGATATCACAATAATGTTCCCAGCAAGGCAAGGCCAGGCAGAATTCAGTACTTGCCCTGTATGGCCGCACCTTGCTAGTCAAGCAACATGGACCAAGCTCCAAACTAGATGGGTTTCAGCTCTTGTTTAGTGGGTGCATCAATGAGGAAGCAGCTTATTAAAAATTGTGGTTTTGTGTGAGCATGCATTGTGGTGGCAGAATAAGGGTCATGAAGGTAGAGGGAAAGGGAAGTTTAGGAGAACAGAGAAGCTGACAGAAAATGAAACTCACTTCTAAGAAGCTCATGATTTGAAAATGCTTTATGCATATGTACATACATACTGCAGACTGGCATGTGCTCCAAATTGGAGACTTTCAAAGCCCTACAGGTATCTGCAATTGTTTATCTCAGCAAAACCCATAAAAATACTAGAAGTATCACTGCAGTTAGCATTTAAAGTGTGAAGAACCCATTCAACTGTAGATGTATGCAGCTGAAGGGGAAACTTACATACCAGAAAGACTCAGATGAGAGCAAAATAGAAACTTGAAAATCTAAGTGCAAATCACAGTCAAAATATAAAATTTAGGAGGAACTGCATCTATTCTATCCTTCTGGCAAAAGGAGGGGCCACTGAGAAGTCTTCTTTATAGGAAGACGGAAAACATGCAGCTATAAGCAGAGAAGTGATCTATAAAGGAAGGGCACTCAAAATCCAGTTGTGGAATGAGATCCTTAATTGGACTAGAACCTCTGACCAATTCTCTGAAATATTAAAAAGCTGGAAAAAAATAAACCATAGCAAAGTCCTGCAAGATAGGAAACAGATGAAATAGGAAGTGGGTGAAATAACTGGCAAAGGAGCATTAATGTTACAGGATTCTCTACAAGTACATATCCAGAAAGCAGTCTAGTGTTGTTTGAAGAGCCACTTCCATGAAGACGTATTCACGTTTCAAATCTGCATGTTTTTTCAAAGTACATCTGTTTTATGAACCTTCCTTACCTCCTACAAAGAACGTTCTCTTCAGGACCAAGGAGCATACATATTTCCCCCCTGAGAGCCACCAATCATCAAAGCTACGCAATAAAGGGGTTTGATGTTCATGAAAGAAAAGCGAGCTGAAAAGCATATCTAGAGTTTCAGACAGTCCAGCATATTCATAAAATGGCACAGGGCATGTCCTAAAGCACAGTATCAAGTAGATACTAGCCTCTAACCACAGGATTAGGGATTTATCTGATACATATAATGGAGTGAAACTGGTTGGAGAATGGTAGAAATGATAGATCCCTGAAGGAGAAATCAATTTGGGACCTGCTAGTTCTGATAAAAATCATTCAGAGCAGAGCCTCATTCACATTCCCATATGGTCAGCACAGGTTGTCTATAAGGCTATTTGAAGATCTTGGTCAGCAGTCCGTTGAAAAGTGGGTTTGATGCCTAATGCAACATTTTCAAAGAAATCATGATCTTTTGCTCTAGACATGAAAAAAATCATAGTACTGAAAGAAGCATCTACTTTTAGTAACTCATGTTGTACAAGAAAAACACTACCCATGCTTTTGACAAATTGCACCTCTGAAATTAGGACATGAAGATGAATCTCCTTGGAATATTAGGGATTATGCAATCCAAATATCAGGATCACCCTTAAGAAGTATCTGTAAAACAGCTAAAATGTATGAATGCGTATGAACACTATATGCTGAAGAAGACAGCCAAATCTCAAGCCAAACTAAACTCTTCAATGGGCATGTGAGCACTACCACTCCTCAATGCCAAAAATTTATATCACCTCTTCTATGGTTAGGACTATCTTAACTGTTCTATCTGCTAAGTTTTGTGGAACAAAAATGCCTAAAAACGTTCTAGCGCAGTATTACGTAAGTGCTAATGCAAAGAGCCTCTCTCCTTCCCTTTACTCTTAAACAGTACCACACTCAACAAGCTGATGCTGAAAAATTAATGATTCATCAGAACAGGTGTACTGCTTCTAGACTAATCACCTCTATCAAATATCTCCTGGGACCTGGCTTAACCATTAGCACAAAAGACAATTTAATTCCTTGAGGTGAACCAAAATGGGTTCCTTGATGATAATTCACAAAAAAACCCAACCCAAAACTTCAAGAGACAAAGGGAAGAAGACAACGAGAGCATTTCCTTTTGTTCATAACAATTCATGCTGGAAATCATCTTGTATGGGATGAGGAACATCCCAGTACAGCATAATTATTAGCTGAAAGGATCAGGCCCAAGTTCAGAATTTGATCACTGAACAAAATACACTCCAAAATCGCTGGTGGTTTATATTATTTCTTATGCTGTCACTTGTCATGTTGCATTGTATAGGAGATTCTGTCTGGTATACACTGCTTCCTTCCAGGAAGAAAAAGATGAATTTAACACTGAAGTAGATATTGCTACAGTGAAATTATGACCAATACTGCATGAGGCCTAAGGAGCATAAAACATCCAGTCAAAAGTCCAGTCTCTTAGTCCTGGCCCTTCATAATATTTGACAGCAAAGAAAGCATTGTAAAGGGTATTTCTTTGGGATGTCCAAGTTTTGCAAGATTCGCAGAATTTAGGAATTTATATTCTACCAAAGACAAGCACTTCCAGCGGAGTTCTGAGGAACAAGCAGTTCACCAAGAGCAGCAGCAGCCTTGCTATGCTGCTTTTCTGTCTTTCTGGCCTTATCCATGCTATTTGAGGCCAGATGCAGAAGCACCAATGCAGGAAATTGCCGAAACTTCTCTAAATATCACTTGAGTTGTGAAGTCTCAAAATGCAGCATTATTGCCAGACAGAAGAAACACACATTTCTGGGAAACAATCCCATCAGCACCTCACCCCAGAATATCAGGAAGACTGGTCTCCTAATTCAGGTTCAACCTCAGCTCAGAAAAATCACAAGCTGAACCTGAACAATCAAATTCCTAGGTTGCAAGACAAAGTTATGATGGGCTCCACAGAAGCCCACTGCTCAGAAAGGCACAGTGAAATGCTTTGATCCAGCTGGACAATTAAGAAGTATTAAGATGGCGAGGAGGCAGGTGGAGCCATTCAACTAGAGAAACACAATTTAACATCTAGAAGAGAAATTACTACTTCTTTTTCTTCACGTCAGGTTCCCATAGTCCAAGTATACCTTCGTCCACTGCAGTACTTCATGATAAGAATACATTACGCTTATTCCAGTCCTCCCAATGAAAAGTCTGTCTGCTTCATTAGGTTGTGAATTTTTCATTACTGGAAAGAAAACGAAAAGCATTTTTAAAAAAATTTTACATGTAAATGCAGTTTAAAAGAAATTAAATGCTTGAAAAACACAGTTGTGAAAATATCAAATCCGTTTTCTGAAATATTTACCATTAAAAGTAGTAACTCCTTAAGTTCTAACACTGGAAGTAGGGTAAGTAACTACAGTTTATTCAGACAGTATTTCATAGTAGTCTAAGTCATCTATAAAATAATTGGACATATAATGGCATAATTTAGCAACATCATTATTTGTAAAGTAAGCTTTACATTTTCTGGCAACACGAAGAAATTTCGGTAATTGCAGAACTGAGTAATTACAAGTTTTTCCAAACGTATTGTACCACCTCTTTGGTCTCAACCCATTCAGGTGTGGGAATATTTTTTGTACCATTAGAAAATAAAAATAAATATTTTAAAATGTAGTGTTTATTTATCTTGTATTTGCAATTTCTATTTTTGTATATGCTTTCTAATGCATTTAATATATTAGCGCAGTAGTACATAAAAAATTGGGGGTGAGTGTTCAAAAATCTTTTACTGATGGAGGTGCCTATCAGTTTGGAGACCACTGCTCTAGGGAAGGCAGACTAAGTTCCAAGCTCTGCCATAATATTCTCTCTGTGTCACAACTGGAAGCTGTGATAGCCATTTAGTAATACAGAAGTCTGTGGTCAGAAAGGTCATGTCACATATCTGGAATAAGTATTCATCATGTTTTAGTAGTTAATACAGGATGAAAAGTATCTGAGTCGTCCCTTATAAAACACTTAAATATCCCACTGACACTTCACTGAGCCTCAGTAATTTGTGAGCTTATCAGGAAGAATGATACAGATATGCAAATGAAGGGGCATACGGAGGAAAGGGGCAACTAGAAGGTGTTTTGCAGACGCAGCACTTGGAGAAACTCTTGGTTCTTTAGAGAATACTTCTAAAAATCCAAATTACTAAGGAAAAGCTATAAATTATGTATATGATGTAACCCTGTTCAAGGTGTTTTAAAATACACGACTATATATATATATATATTGACAACTCTAAAGTTTATTTACGCTATTAATAGTGTGACACTTCACATGACAATACTTAAACACATTTGCCTTTGTCCTGAGTATAGGCCATTCTTATTAAAAGACCACAAATTTTGGGTTCTCTTCTTGATTTCACAAAGATCAAGTGTTCCTCCTTCAGAATTTTCTTTTGACTTTAAGTGTAAGCTCTGTGGATTTTACTTCTAGTAGAAAATGGCTTCTACTGAACATTACAGCTGATTGCATTTGCAACTCAAGAAATTCTGAACACTGTAACATAAAATTAACTAATAATCATAAACTATACAAAATAATTTTTTATCTCTTTTAAAACTCTACAAAGAAAAGGGATGAACAAAAAGCATTTATTGTATCTTAATTTTACCTGCATCAGCAAAATCACAGAAAGGAACTTCTGGTCTGTTTGACTCAGAATCTTTGGTTAGTATTTCAGCAATAGATAAAAATAATTTCTGAAAATCCTCAAAACATTCACATCCAGTTCTTGCATTAAGATACAAAGTTCCCAGCTTGGTCCAATCCCTTTTTTCCTTACAATGCTGTGAAGAGGGCAAGGGATAAAGATAAGCAAACCTGCTTCCAGAACACCAAACAGAAAATATATTGAAATTTGAGAGACACACCTGGGATAGACTAAAGCGGAAAAAAGACAGAGATGAAATGGTACTGCCAAGAACCTTCACGTTCATATGGCACAGTTTCATGCTGCCTAACTTGCATGGACTACTAATTACTTCTGTCCCTCAAGAAATAAAATTTCTTTTTTCATGTCATGACCCCAACTGAGGAAGCTCATAACTTATGTATCTTATTTAAGAACTGGCATTCATCCAGTATTTACTATCCTTTTTTTATGACATGATGCACACCGCATTTATGGTTATTTTCTATATGAGTCAGTCGTTTGCTTGTCAGATCACTTGGTAACTTTGGTGTTGAAGGAGTAAAAGAAGGTTTTTCCCTTCTTATATTTCCGTGTCTGGATTTGAGCACTATGTGTGATAATATGTAAACCATAATTGAGCATAATAAGTAATCTGACCTTGAATATGAAACGCACAAGTGTCCAACTAAAGAATGTTTTACAGTATTTTCTTATTCTTTAAAATTCCTGCTTAGTGTTGTCAAATGCAGCCTTTTACAATTGTGTGTTTTTATACTAGATGTGAATTCTATCTGCTAAATAATATAAACAAATTTTTGGTGAGGAATGATGCACCACTACCAACTACAAGCATAACAAACGTAAGGCATAGGAAATAATTGCTTAAAGTTATAAAATCTTTAAATTAGATGCAAAACCAAGACACAAACTACAAGTATGTAAATTAAAATACTGACATCACAGAAAAGCCAAAGACAGTATCCCTTGCATGTGAAGCCTTCCCAAACATGGCTTTACATAAAAGCATTTGATCATAAGCTCAATATACTCAATAATAAAGCCCACTAATTTAGAAAGGTGTAGAAATTGCTATTTCTTGTACGTTTCAAAGGCATAGTTTAAGTATTCCAACAAGTCTGAAGAATGCACATACTGTACCTGAATTTCATCTGCTGCTAAGTTGAAATCAAAAAGCCAGTTCTTTTCAAAATGGTGTCTTTCTCTAAATCTTCCATATGAAAAAAATATTAATACTTAATTTTAACACACCCTATTGAACTAAATTATGCACTAGCAGAAGAGAAACAACAAAAGACCATATATGAACAATAAATTGATCTGATTTTTGATTCTGTTTACTTCACATTACGCAAACTGCACACTGAAAACACTCATTTACAATCTTGCCAAGGGAAGAGAGTAAATGTATTAAACAAATAATTGAGCAGAGCTAGTTTTACAGAATATATTCCCTTGTCTCAGTTGAAGTGTAACTGAAAAGGTACAAATAAGACTTGCAAATCCAGTAAGTAAACACTGAACTGACAACTGCAAGTCACCTTCAAATACCTAGGAGCACAACACTTTATTCTGATGCCACCACTGAAACGATGGATACATCTACTCAGTGTGATGCTACGACGTAGAGACGCGTAACCTACACAGGGCATGTGCTAACACATGTAACTGAAGTAGCACAGGTGCTCAGTCTTCATAGATACAGACCATTTCTCACCTTCAGCTGAACTCACATACATACTGAGGCAACCTGGAAGAAGTCATGACTTTGTGAATCAGATTCCTGATACAAAAAGTGATTAAAATGACCTCCAGCATTTGTGGTAAATTGCATAGGTAAAAACCAGAGATCCATGGCTGAAAGTACTCTATGGGAAAAGTATGCAAAGGCAGAAAATAATTTCTACAGTTCTTTCAGTTGGAACAGTGGTGGCTTGTTTTCAGATAGTAGATGCTGCATATTTGGTCTCCTCTAAGAATCAAAGGTATGTTTATGAATCACAAATTTAGTTTCTCAGTTTGCATGTGTGTATACGATGCAGATGACACAAAAAAGTAGAAGGATCACAATCTCGTTCAAGCGATGCGGAGGTAACAACAGTTTTGGAACAGATTTGACATTTTGCCCAGCATAATCCAGCAGTACTTAAAAATGATCCTCCTCCCTAGCAGTGTTGGCACAAGTGTTTATCTAATCACACCATAAAGGAAACTAGAAAACTACTTCAGATTGTAACTAATCCTCGTATTGTCTAGAAGGGTTATTTTTTGCAGAAGTACTGTCTGCTTATGTGGGCATAAATGTTATATTAAACCATGATGTTTTGAATTGGACTAGTTATATAAGCCTGTAGCACAGCAGGGAGCAGATTGTACAATGACGGTTGATATGGAAAAAAAATAATAATCAGAATCTAAGTTTTGACTTAACATTCCTTGATCTTTGAAGCACAGTAGATTGACACCACTTTAAATACAATTAGGCATGATACGACAGTATTTTAACTCAAAGCATCTTTTAAAGATTTTACATAAATTTATAAAAATAGAATCTAAAACAGGAACTAGACAGATATAATTAGAAAAACAGTTCCTTAAAGACATACCTGGATTTTATGTTCAAAACAACACTTATTTCCCAACTAGAAACTTGCAATTGGTGAAGTAACTTAACAATATAGTCAAAACGGTCTAACTCAAGGAACATACCAGCATCAACGAGCTGTAATATCAAAAAAAGTAAGAAAAGTAAGCATACAAAAAATTGTGATCACTTAACGCATTTTCAGAGGTAAATGGCAAACAACATTGGGAAAAACATGTCACAGTGAATCTTACTCAAAAAAGAATGGATTAAATAAAAACCCGTACAACCAATTCAGCTACTCACAATAACACTTTTAATATTATTTCAGTACAATGTTTTTAAAGTAATGTGTTTGAGTTTTAAAACAGGGAAAGTATTTCAGAAATTCCAACAAGCAGCAGTAGTACAAACTCATACCTTACGAAAGGTACGGATTAATGTAGGCACAGCATCTCTTAAATTCAAAGAAGCCACTTGCTCAAAAACTTTCAGAAGAACATCTGTAGTTGGCTAATTTAAACAAAAAAAAAAAAAGCACTATCAGTTTTGCAATTCTGTTCAGTAACGAAGCTTAGATTTTATAATGGGAACTTTTGAACTGCTCCCCTCACCCAAGATTTGAGCACCAGAGTAAAACCAAACTTATTAATACAAATGGCATAATACTCAAACTTGGAGTGTGGAGAAACCACGGAACAAAGATTTAAAAATATTCCAAAGTCACCTACCAGTGTCTTGATTTCCATGGTTACATTCAATATCCAAAATACCTCCTGCAACAAACAGTTCTTGAGCAGAGAAACAAGAAGATCATTCAACACTTGAGAAGCAAAATCCACACCAGGAACAACTCCTCTGTAATACCGCACAAATATTTGGACTGAAAAAAGCAATTAAATTAATTTCACTTTGGGGTAACTGATGCTAACTATTTAAGCAAGTTATTTCCTTACATTTTAAATGCAGTGTAACAACCCTTAATTACCCAAGATATTATGGGACAGGGATATGGAGAAAAATGTGTGAAAGGATCCAGTTTGAATACAGTGTTAACCTTACTAGACCCAGACTGATTATTCTGAAATACCTCATATAACTGAACTGAACACTGTAAGCCCTGTAGATTTCAAGAAAGCTTAGCTGATTTGGTGCAGTGCAAGAAAAATGCACAAAATCAGGTCAGATTTAGTATGTGTGTCAAGGTAGTAAGGCCTTTCCAGACATGAAGCTCTAGAAAGTGAAGTGCAGTGTTATGGTGGATGGTTTTACAACCTGTTGCATAGCTAGCTTTCCTTGACAGACACGTACCATAGCTTGCTGGTACACAGTGTTACCCACATTAAAACACCCAATATTTTGACATGGGAACAATACAGCACTGGGTGCAACTGAGTCCTCCGTTCACATTCTGCTACACCCCGAGAAGCTCTCAAAAACTCAAGACTGCTCAAGACAGGTTCAAAAGGAATCACTGTCCAGAGTGAAAAAAACTCAAACCAAAACAAAGTCCTTTCTGACTGAACTCAAAAGCTCAGATGGATCTGCATCAATTGCAGTTCTTAAAACGGGTTAATCATAATTGCCTGCATATATGGTAATGTGTAAGGACTAAACTAAAGCCATTTGGGTGCAGTAGCAATACTTCAAGAGCTTCATTCTAAAGGTTTTGGGTTTGTGATGTTTGGCCAGGGTGTTCAAAAGCACCTTAACAAAATTTGAGTTCTGTTAGACATCCCCCCTGCCCCAGTCATGCATTTCTACTCTCAAATCTAGTTACAGTCAGGCTAAGTTCATTTTCTGTGGAAGTAAGTTTCTAACAACCTCCTGAGATAACTGTGTATTTAAATTTCTAGCCTGACTGGGAAATTTAAACATGACAATGCAGGGATTGAACATATTCATTTGAAATAGGAACTTCTTATTCACTGTTGGAAGTGGTAACCATTTCTCTCTCGACAACCTGTTTTATTTGCTTTAAATAAGCTAAGTATCAAAGATACATCAACAGCTACTACTATACCCTACCTGCACGTTTTAGGAGGCCTGGTTCTTTGATTTTAATGTATGTCCTAAGAATTGCCATGCAAATCTAGGAACAAAAAAAAAAAAAAGGAAAAAAACCTATAATGAAATGTTACCTCAGTTTACGCCAAACAAAAGAACTACTCACAAACATGACTTCTATTGTGAAATGAGCTTTACACTGAAAATGCAGTTACTTCAAGATTACTATTAATGTGGCAGACTGTAAACAAACAGAAAAAGGGAAGCAGAAAGGTTAAAGTGAAACGTGGTAAGAAAAATTACATGGAACATACCAACTAAGAAGTCAAAAAATCATCCAGATATGAAGACTGTAACACTGATTATCACAAAGAATCACTTATAAGGACACAGAACAAAAAACTCACTAACTTCATTTAATGAACCGTTTCACCCCACACCCACTTAATTAAGAAAAAAAAAAAGTCCACATGAGTTATTTGGTATTGGAACATTCTGTCAGCTTTGTGATACTTACACATTTTGCTCTACCTCTGCAGATGTAGAAAAAAAGACTACCGTGTTTAAATCTTAGAATTCCAAGTTAGGGAAAAAACCCACCCACCCTTTCAGATATCCTCTGTCACTTCTGGAACATTACAGTCTTTCTGCACAACAATGTAAATAGGTCATACTTAATACTATTTTGCGAAATAATGAAAAATCAAGAGACAGGGAATGCCCTAAATTAGTAGTCATCTTATTAGAAAATTGAGTCAGGTTTATTTTTACATGCAACTTAAAAATTACAGAGGATCCCCTCATGGAGTTTGTTACACAGCAAATGAACTATCATCAAAGCTAAAGACACTGGCTTGTGGCCAAGACATCTTTCTTTTTTTAAAACCATTAACCTGTTCAGATCATCAAGCCCAAGAACACGAAAACTGTACGTCTAAGTATGTTAAATATAAATCTTACTGTTTTTACTTTGAAACAGTATCATAATGTTATTGAACTATAGTCCAAGATACACCTTTCAGAAAATCATGTCATCATTAATATATGTGAAGTGTGACTTGACAGTGGGTTAACTCATTTAATCCAAAGCTATAATCCCAGGTGGCTCAGGGCATTTCCAAAACAAACTTTCATAAATGCTTATAGTACGGAAATTAGTTTGCTTTCTTTTGGAAGCTGTTTTTCTCCTTCCTTGGACTGACTCCCAAAAAAAGCCAAGACTGCATCTGGAGCTCTGACTGTTCCAAGTATTAGTGAAATTGCCTGGAAAACCCACTTGTAGCAGTATTTAATCATGGGACATGTTATATTACATTAGTAAAAGAAACTAAATGTGTTATTCCTTTACAGCTTCTAGAAGGCTTCAATTGATTTAGCTGTTTCAATTTTAAAACATATAACTGCACATACAGACCATGTAAAAATCTGAGAATCTCTAAATTTTGAGTTTACTGTAATAGATTTTGAATGAAGGTACATGAAAGAGATGATTCCTATTTTCAAAAGGTAGTATAAATCCCACTCTTCTGTCATCTATCAGTTGATTCCATGACTTGTTCAACATGACAATTTAATAAAAACTATAATAAAAGACTGTGTATCTTATACAAGCAACCAGCTGTCCAGTAAAACACGGTCCTACCACAGTAACACAGAGGTGCTTATTCAGAAGAACAAACACAGGAATGTATGAAATCCTCCAGCATCTTCCAGCCAGTGTACACTCTGATGTTTAATAAGGGAGAAAACCTCACGCTGCAGCCTTTTGCTCAGTGAGATCAACACCATGATCCTTTTTACAGGCGATTCTGTTGATGAACCCTGTGTAATCTTTAGGACGCACAGTCCCTACTAAATGTGGCTGAAACTGATCGACAAGCTCAAAAGTCATTTAACGGCTGTTAGAGACAGTAACAGAAGGACAGTGTAAAGTCTAATTTCTTTAAAAATCCAGATTAAAAAAACTAAACCAAACCCCCACCACAACAGAAGTATATACTCCAGGCCCCAAAGCTGCAAGACAACACTAATGAAGACAGAAGTCTTGCTATTTTATATGCTGTTTGCTTCCAGTTAGAGGTTCATATGATCAAAGAAAAAGCGAGTATGAAGCCACAAAAAGTAATAATTTCTTTAGTGGATACAAGTCAAAATAAATGAGTAAGGTGCACAAAGTTAAAATAAAATGAGAGAGAAAAATACAGCTTTTGCATAAAGACATGTTTTCAAACCACTTATTTAACCATGCGATTATTATCTGTGCTACACTCTGAAGTGCCTTTTGAGCAAAACAATTTACTGTATTATGCCCACTGTCTCTTGCCCTTTCACTGTGCACCACTGAGAAGAGTCCAGCTTCATCTTCTTTATCCTCTCTCCATCAGACACTGATACATATTGTTAAGACCTGCCCTCCCTTCAAATACTTCAGGGAGTATTTAAAACACAGTCTTAATAGTTTTGTTTACTTTGCCTAGTACAAAAGAGATTTCACTGTTTGTAAATAAAGGCATCTTAAAAAAAAAAACAAGCCCAAAACCAGTAACTTGTACAACTTGCTGAGCAAAAGAGTCTGCTGATTTTCAAACCATATGATGTTTTTATAAATTAAATCACTGCTGTGTTGTGTGATCAATCACAGCTATAAAGTGTTAAATACTAGGAAGTTATGCCTTAAAGCATCAACCATTTACCTAATGAAAAGGAAAGAATATCCATTATGGGGAAAGGTACTTCTCTTCAAAAACTCCAGTAACAATCATCACTAGAAACAAAGCATTAAGCAAGTGGACTACCAGTCTGCACAGCAGTTCCTGGAGAGATGTATTTCTCCTGTATATGACTGGATGACTTTTTTACTTTACCTGTTTTCACTGATGTACTTTGGTGCCACCATGAGGTGCTTGGCCTATTATCGTTTTGAAATGGACAGGTCTATAAATATAAATAAATATAAACCAAGCAAAACTCAAAGTATACTTTCAGACTACCAGTAAAGTTTGGCTAGGTTTGGTGGGCAGAACAGTAAAATTGTGCTGGACTGCTGCACCACCAGTAAAATCAAATGGAATGGATTTTTACTAGTTTGGGGCAAATAATTCTTTAAGGTGGCTGTATATAATGAAGCATTACAAACCACATTAATTCATATAAACTAGCTGAAAATTACTAATAATCACCACAGCCTGCCCAAGATACTTCACAACTGAGGAAAAGGGAAAATGTCCCATACAAAACTACTCTCAAATTGTCTTACTATCTTTAAGATGTAATATAAATTTTCAAAGGGTTTACAAAGCATTAGCAGAAAGTAAAGCAGCTTTTCCAGACATAGAAAGGAATAGAGAAAACATCAAGAAAAATAAAACTGAATTACACTGATGTATTTTAAAAATTCTGATGCAGAAGATGGATAAGCTTCTTTAGATGTTACTTTTTTTTAGTAATTATGTCTAACAGGTTCAATACAAGTTATTTTTTACATTTTGATTCTGAAATGTCTTACTGACACTAATGATGAAACTGCACTCATACCAAGAAGATGGCAGATAAGAAATATATCTTGTAATGTCTGATGAGGACAAGTTTAGGCACTTTTCTTTGTTTATCTGTTTTGACATTTTTGTTTGCTTCCAAGTGACTTACAAAACCACCTGAGTCTTGGTTTCATACAGCCAATTCCAAAATCTTATTACATGACTGCACGATTGGCTTGCCTTGCACAGTTCTTGTAAGTATTACAGACTCACAGTGTCTCTGTTAAAAGGTTTGAAAACATATCTACTTTGCCCATCACTGGAAAACTATTTTTGCTTGTAAATATTATGTGAATTGTTGCTCCATTTAAAGAGGTTACAGCATCTTTAAACAAACATGCCCATACTGCAAAAAACATGCAGGAAGTCATATACCATGGATAGCTTTTGACAATACATACAAAGTCTCTGCAAAGGTTTCCTGAAAGTCTCTGATGCTCAGGATAGAAACGTCTCAGAATCTGTGCATTCTACTACTCTATATCTGCACAGCCTAGTTCTTGCTCTTTTGCTGATGACTGTTCTCTTTAAAAGTCTGCTAGCTCAAAATTGTACCGTGCTTTAAAAAAATAACTTAAGAGACCTTGAGAGAAAGGTTTTCTGGACATTTTTTTCATCCATCAATCTCTGAAGTTTATTCCCTTTCCATATATAAATAAAGGAGATTATGTTTTGCATTTAAAGTGTTCACACTTACAACCTGTTCCTAACTTCAACAAAACTTGTTACCTTTTCATCCCCTTGTTCGGGGACATGGGAGAACCGACATCTTGCTCTTGTACACCCACGTGAAGTCATGAAATAGTACCGGCAGTATTTACGGGGCAAGTCAAGTGCATCGAGGATCTGTTGGACTGAATGAGAAGCCTGAAATAAAATAAAATTGCAACAAGCTGAAGAGACCAAACAAGTAGTACTTTTTGAAAGCAAACATGCTCTTTTTTTCTGAGAATTTCAAAATAACTACAAATTATAAAGAAAAGCAAAAAATGTGGGATCTATAATTAAACCTCTGAAACAATCCTCATGTCTATATTGTCCTTGCAGCATTTCAAAGGGGACAAAGATCAATCTTGTCATGTCGTGTTAATGTTTAACACAAAAAAAGCCTGTCCTGAGGACCACAGACAGGGACAATGCAAGAATTGCTAAATGAGATGGCCAATGAGTAGAGAGGAGGAAGAAAGAGAAAGGTGACAAGCTCCTGCATGGCTCGGAGTAGCAGTCTGAGAATTCTGGGGCATCAATTTCCTTTACCCTTTTTCAGTGCCCAGCATGATGGATAATGCAGGCTGTCTTAAACATGTGAAACCTTGTCTGCTTTTCAGTTCTATAAAAATGATAAAGTAATAAGCATTTTTAAATTTTGCTTAAGCTGAAAGTAAAATCAAGAAATTGAAGAGTTGTCCCATCATCACTGATTTTGTTCTCAGAAACTGTATTTACTCAGTGACAATATCTTTAAGGTGTAGAAACATAAACTCACATAGATTCATAATTTCTGACTCCATATATGGAGAACTGTCTGAATATTCATAAGAAATTTAGTGCAAAAGGATCAGAAATCAAAGATTTAATAACTCACAGTTGCATTTTTCTCCATCTTCCATGGCTCAAAATCTCCAAAATTCTTCAATGTCTGTAAAGGACTTTTTCCTGATGGTTTGTAAACTAAAAATTAGGATGAGGGCAATAAATGGATCACATAATAAAAACGAATCATACTGAAACCACTCCAATTTATCATATTTTCCTTTATATTTATAGTTCCTTCAAGTCACAGCAATGATTAATGGAAATTTGATTAACACAGTCTAAAGCCAGTAATTTAAGTAACAGTTTTCTTAATTATCCCAGAAGTGAGACTTTACACAAACTTCAAGAGTAAGCACATTTAGTTTAAAAACTTCACTGCTTTATCCAAGGTTCCTAGTCTCTAACTTATAGAGATAAGAAATGGAATAAAAATATCCAGAAGTTTAAATTTCAAAAGGAAAAATAACCCACCCACTTTATCAGTAATCTTTGTGTTCCAACATCACTAGCCATAAATTTAAACTGTTTTTTTTCAGAACTGAAAGAAAACCTTTCATATTCTTATGTTTTAAGCAGAGCAGCAGCCCAATGTAAATCTTAAGCCCAATGTAAATTACTGGTTTCTTTACCATGAAACTTGGTTTTATAACTTTAATTATTATTGAATAACAGATTTCTTTCTTTGAAAAATGAATAATGTTAATGGAAGATAAAAGTTCAAATTTTCAACTCCATATCTAAAGAGAAATAAGAGCTTTTGAAAGCCTTGCTTTCTAGGGTTCCCATCTAGCCCCTCCAAAGGAATGGCTGTTCAAAAGACAGGGTGCTTAGCCCTTTCTGACAAACTATAGTTACTAAAGAGCATGAAATAATGAATGTTCTACTAGAGACTTGCACTAGGTACATGGTTCTTATTCTGCATGTCTTTCTAAACAGATAGGGCTATCCCAGGATAGGAAGGAGAAACCTAAGGTTGAATAATTAAATATTTAATGTTACATACTGTCACAGTTGCAAAACTTTGTGCAGTGATGGAGGGCAATTTGATAAATTCAGGATTGGATACAGTTAGTGATAAGAAAGACCAAGAAAACAGCCAACCACTAGCTGCAGAAAAACAGCACTAGGAACTTGATCTCAGAAGTCTTTCCTACAGATTCTTGCCATCCCCAAAGCATAGAGTTTCTGATCAGGTCCCTTCTAGAGTTTGTACTCTCCTTGCTGACTGTAGGTCACACTTGTAGGGAAGATGGTACTAAAGTGAAATAGTCAACCCTGCCTGCACAGTTCTGGGAATAAATGGCTGTTTTGCCCTGTCCTAGCACAGGAACTCTTGCTTTGGCAACTGTTTTGAATGATTTTAAGACAGAAGATTTAGAAGAACTCTTCTGAAGATGTATACATTTTAAGGCCAAAGACACGAGCAGTTTCAAACAACTGGAGTCTGAAGAAGTATTTCACAGTTGCTTTTTATAGCATGTTTCTTTGCACTTCCTGAAAATATTGTTAAATGACATGACGATAAAATCGTTCTACAAGCTCAGACTAGCATCAGAATTTGAAACTAAGCAAGGATCTCTGTCACTGATCTTAATTCAGGAAATCCATGTTTATAAATATCTATATTAATCAATAATTCTAAAAACATTAATTCCCCAAAGCAGCTGCTGCAAAGGAACAGAATACAGTACCTATCCATAAGTAATCAATTCCTGGTTTTCTCTATCTTGTACGCCAAATAAACCATGCATTTATGTAAAGCTAAATGTCAGATTTGTTATGTGCAGTGACTACAGTTCCATTACATTATGATTTCCCTGGTGGCAGAGATGCTGAAGAGGTATCTGTCCCAGGTGTGAAATACACTGAACATGAAGTGCTATTTATTAAATCTACATAATTTCCTTGATCCAGCCTAGCACATGCCTCACAAACATTTGAATTGGCATAAACAACAAAATTCTGACCTTCAGCAAAGTGGGTAAATCACTTTAGCAAGTTTAGTTAACAACAACCAGCCAAGAAGACCTGCAGTCATGTTCTCTGACCAAACAGAGAAAAACAAGTTACCTGCTGATGACATGGCTCAAACATAACGCATCAAACTACTAAGAACGTAGGCATTTCTGTACTATTAAAGTATCTGACAACCATAAATACCAAGATAGAATGACTGCTATTAGACCCTACCAAATAGAATTCTGCTAAAAACCAAACCAAAACCCCTCACTAACCTATCATATGAGAGCTTGCTTTTATATATGCAATCTAAAATTCCAGCCAACACCTTCAGGAAATGAAGACTATCCGTAAGATTTTATAAGTAAATAAAGCACATGAAAAAATAAATTCTGGAGTGTTCAACAATACAGCATATAATACCATTTGTCCAGGATTTCATCACTGTAGCTTCACTGAAGATATTTACTTTCGGGTCATTCAGTGGTGATCCTGATAGCAATTCACAGTTCACAAGATCTTTGTATTTACAGTCACTGTTGAGTATTAAAAAAAAATTTAAAAATTCTTTAAGTAAACAGGTGCTTCTCTCATATACTGTATGCCTAAAAAGACAGATTAAGTATATAAAACATGAGAATTTCTTCCACAATTTATACAACACTTCAAAACTTGCTGTAAATTTAAAAAGCTAGCAGTCCCAGCAACTTGACTTTCATTACTCACATTGCCTGGTCCGATATGATTATCATCTTAGCTCATATTGTTCTGTCCTGAACCATAACCATATGAAATTCAATAAATAAGTAGAAAAGGCACCCATGTACCACTTTTGGTTTTGTTTGTTTGTTTGTTTGGTTTGGTTTGTTTTTTTCCACTATGCTGACAGGAAGACTGAGATGATTTCTGTCATCTCTGAAGAAGCTGTTTACCATAGTCTGTTCTGTAATATCTGCCAAAGAAGTAAACCACAAAGCTTTTCAAATCACATTTGAAGAGCCGACTGTTTTCTTTTCTAAAACCTGATTTTACTGGGCAGAAGATTTAGGTGATTTCAAAGGGAACTCCAATTCAGGACTGTTCTGCCTTTAACTATCCCAAATACGTTCATTCCAGATAATTAAACTGCTAAAATGTGACACTTTCAAAAATAATCAAAAAATATTGTTAGCCAAATACTTGGTATTCTCTTTCTTATTTGGAAACAAAGCCACAGGAAAAAAAATCATCCCCTTTCATGAGTTCTTCCTCCCCTCCCCCTTTCAATTAAGAATCCTGGTCCAGTACAAAGGACATTTCACTCCGCTTGCCTCTCTATAGAGACAGAAGCAGAGTTGCTATCCCCTATGAGGGGCACATTCTAGCTATTTACACAGCCAAGATAATTTGAATTGTTCCTAAAGTGCAGGCTGTTTTTAATAAATTTGAAATGAAAATGCTGTGGCAGAGAAGACAAAATTCCATCTAATAAACCCAAATTCTTCAGGATCAGTCTTTATTTTTTAAATGCATTGGGTTGGTTTCCAGAGGGGAAAAAAAAATCTGCAGATTTAGTTACTCAGAAATTTCAAGTTACCATGTAAATTTTTTTTTTATACTTCCTTGTGATGCCAGCCTCAGGTCTGACAACAGGACTTTCATAGTAACTTACCTTCAGGATAACAATCTCAGGTCTCTTTTTAATCTAGACATTAAACTACACACAATTTTGCCATGGATTGTAAACTATAAAGCTCTGCAATCAAGTTATTTTTTTAAGTAACAGCATCACTAGAAGTGAAGTTTGCTAAGTAAGAACAGCAACTCTGTTTTCTTCTACATGAAACTCTGCAATGGTAACATTTTTGAGTAAAACTAGAGAAAATAGTTTGACTCCAAATGAAGGCCTCTTCTTTAACCACACAGAGTGCTGCATTTCAACTAAAGTAGTGAAGTAATGCAGAATCACTTGCACAAACGTATCTTAATCAGCATAATCTTCTTATTCTATAGCATAAAGAAGGTAAATTCAAACAATATTTTACCAGGAGGAGGAGTTTGGAGCTCTCTAGTGGATTAATGAAAACATGCAGTATTCTCCACTAACAGACTTCTTTCTGGCACACCTCACACCTCTCACAGATTGTGACTGGTGTTGGAAAAACCCCAATACTCTCTATGTCACCTAGGGTTTCTTGATTATTTTGAAAATTACTCGGTGTCCTGGTTCTGGTCAGGACAGGGTTAACTTTTGCAGTAGAAAAACTGTATTAAATACTGATGGTGTTTTGGTAAAAACATCATGTTTTGTTTGTACAGTAACTAGGGAACACCACAGGTTACATGAAGGACATTATATATACCTTTTTTCAGCTTCACTCTTTTTTTCTTGTTTAACATCAGGCACTCCATCTGCAAACTTGAACTGTGAAGATATCTAAAAGTTATTTTCAGGTACAGCCAAGCACTACTAAGCCTGTTATGCTTTACTCTACAGACTTAAAACTGTTAGTGATTATTGAAAGGTGTGATAATATAGCCTTGACTGTAGAAACTGTAATTTGGATTGTAGGGTTACTCTTACAACACGTTTTAAAATGGACATATTGCCATTATGCTCTTGATCTTTAAAATGGTGACTGCTAATTGGAAAAAAAGCGATGTGACCATCTTGACTTCTCTGCTCCCACCGATAATCCCAGAAATTTTTAGGCCTACTGCCCAATTTTAACTGCGCCTGACAGATGCATAGAAACCCACAAAAGACTTCATCAAGAAACCCACCTCATCAAGTTTGATGAAATTTAAAGCTGTACGAGGGAGGAATTTAAGGCTTTTGCTCAGCTATATACCATGTTGTATAGTTAAAAAATCCCCAATGATATGGAGAAAATAGACAGCGTCAAATATATTTGGGGGTAAGAATTTGAAAGGACTAATACAGAACAAAGCCATGGAATCCTGGCTTTGTTTTGTTCATTACTCATGGAAGTAACTGGAACTTCACAAACTATCACAAATTTATGATAGCCAAAGAATTAGACATAGATGCACTCTCATCAGATTTCCAAACTTCAATTTAGCAGTTCCCCAAATGTTTATAGCACTTTTTCCACAGTTAGTCTTTGTCTTTCTCACAGGATTATCAATTGGAAAAGCCATTGAAAAAACAAAATACAAAAATCACCCCAAATGGTAGAGTACTTGCAACAAGTGTTCTGCCATTGCATTCCCTGCCCAAGTTGGCACAGCTAGTTTTCTGTCCACATACAGAACAGCAGGACACTGGTTTTATAAAAGACAACACTATGAAGCAGCCCAGCTGGGACTGACCTGGCAATATTTACAACAAGTACTACACCTTCAGCAAACTGTACTATCTGACAGACCTTTTTAGATTCTCTAAGAGATCAAAGAACAAAGTGGTGCTGTTAACTTTGTGAATCAGATGTTAGCAGCCCAAATTCCATTCACTGAAGGAAATGTTTCTATTCTTCTCAATAATGATTTTGAAAAGGAGATCGATTCTCTTCTGTTTGATTAACGATTACTTATCAATTTTTAACCATGTGAATTTTAACTTAGCCAGTATAAACCATTATCCACTCCTGAAGCAGTGGAAAACAGTAAATGCTATCAGCAGCTATGTCTGAGTGGCAGAGAGATGTAAATTCCAATCCCTTATTAAAGAAGTAAACACTATAAAACTTCAGCAAGTATTAAAAGACTTAGACTTATTATTTAGAAGAAAGAGGACAGAGACAGTAGAAAGGTCAGATAAAGTCAATAAGCATGAAAATGTCTTAACACTCCCTTCTGAACTGCCGGGAAGTCAGTATGTTAATATAATGGCCCCTTTGCCCATGTAATGAGGCACAGAAGGATCGGCCTTGGAAGCATAATGGCTGTGCAGCTCCCCAGCTTTCCAACACCATGCCATCCTTCACAGATTATGTGGTGAGAAGCATTTAACAGCAACTTTTAAAACTAGATATGTCATGTAAAATGTCACATGCACAGTAGTACTCTTAGGTGTTCACTGGAACAGTAATTTTCATACTGTTGGTGGTACAGCATTAACAACTGATATAACAATATCCTGTTTCATTTCAAATGTGAACATGAATTATTAGTAACAACAAAAAAATCAAGCACAAATTACATTGTCAATGGCACAGAAATCTATGAAATGCTAATATTCATTTTATTACAGGAAACTAAGAATTTTGTTGATAAAACAACATTAGTAATTGAAATTACCCAATTATGTGGGCTGCAATTTCTTAAACTATTTAAGGAGAGAAAGCATAATTTCTCAGTACCTTTTCATTCACATCAAAACTCTTCAAAAGTTCATCCAGTTCACTTGGTCGCCCATCTTTAAGAAAGTCCTCAGCAACATCTCCCAAAGGACTGCTTCCTCTGGAGGAGTTGTGCGTTTTAATATCTTCAGCTAAAAATGTATAAACACATTGCTTTATGTGTTTCCCATGTTAAATACTACAAAGTCTGACATTTACAAACTCCTAGGACTTCCTAAATGTGAAATTTATAAGGAAAAATAGTTCATGTTTAAGACAGGAACCATTTCAAATAAATATTACGCTGAATTTGCAATTAAAATTCTATCCAGGCTGTATGTACTATAATGGTCCCTGTAGAACAGTACAACAGGTTTATTTATAGAATATTGAATTCAGTATTTTAGAAATAAATTCAGTTAAGCTTTTTTATTAAAACCCAGCCAAAGATATGTGTGGTAATTTGCTACGCAAAAAGACTTAGCCTTTGCTAGAAAAGGGCATAAGTTAATTGTAATGATACGATGCTCTGAGAAACTCCAAATTCCTGTAATATAGTAAACTCAGTAAGAATTCAGTGTCAGGAAAATTCAGCACCTTTTGCAGATGCCACAGGAAATTAATAAAACACCTGACTGCAACTTCCTGAAGCAGCTGTTTATGTACAACAGCAGAGTTCTGCATAGAAAAGAAATTCACATGAATTAAATTTCAACTGCACTGCATTGTCCAGATTCAGGAAGAAAGAATCAGATTAATACTGGAAAGGCTTTTGTCTTATAGTGACTGATCTCTGTATGATCACCAGTACAAGACACATCTGGCAAAAGACAACGTACATAAGACTTCCACTTACAAGGTAAAGAGGATTGATGTCATCCTGAGTACTTTAATGGTAGTATTTTTTTCCCTGCTTAGATGGTGAAGCCACTGAAGCATGCAGCCATGACCTCACTAAGTAACACGACACCAGAACAGTAACTTATTTTACTTACAAAGCAGTAAATAATTTTATTTACTAAATAAAATAATGCTAAATAATGCATAAATAGTCAGTAATTACCAAACCCAAGCAATTTTTTTTGTTCCGTGCGGATCTTTTTTAAAAGTCATATATTAAACATTAAGTTACCATGTGCATATTCATCTAAAAGTGTGATGTGATCCTAAGTTTCTCAGATCTGGGAAGGACTTACTGAAACCTTTTTCTTTATTTTAAGCACCACAAAAAGAATTAAAGACTCTAAGCCTCAAACTTCACCAGTACACGAAGTTAAACAACAAAGAAAATGCAGAAGTTACTAAACGTACAGGACTTGCTCCCAGGTTTGGTTTCAGTCATCTCAGCATTGCAGATGCATGGCTTTTTACATCACCACAGGCCTAACTGTGCACTTCCTCCTCAGGGAATTTCTGTCTGTTTTTTAGTATCTGAGCTCTTAAAACCTCATTACCTTTTATTTTGCCTTCTAATCCCTGAAGCCTGAAACCTTCCCTCCCCCAGATAGTCACTAGCCCCTCCTTTCTCTCCAGGAGACTAGATCTGCCCAAACCACTCCTAGATGAACATAAATCATTAACGTGGAAAACTAGCACAAGAGGTACTGTCACAGACCTCTTGCAAGCCTGCAGCGAAATCAACACATAATGTCAGAATGTCACATTAACAGTAAGTTGACAAACTGATACCAGAAAGGGAAATACCGTGAACTTTCAAAACCAGTCTCAGCACTCTGTGTGTTCTCCACTAGGCCAATAACGCGCTTCTGTTCAAAGTCAAAATCCTGTTCCTCCAGCCTATCTAATATATAGATATAATATATCAGATATAACTGAAAAGTAGGTCTGGCACGTAAGCTGTAGAAAACAAAACAAATCACATTCATATGCTGCCTAGCTGGACTGTTATGCTTTAAATAGGAAGAAAAAAAAAACATTAAGTCAGAATTAACCTTCTCTTATTAAAAAAAAAAGCATCCTTTAACAACACAACAGCGTCTCAGAAGAATGAGCAAAGCATCCACGAAAAGACCAAAAGGACAACCTGGAAAAAAAATGATTACAAAATTTTGTGTGCTGATGAACACAAGAGAACAGCCAACTCTAAAGGTGAGCCAGACTCCAAAACAGTATCACAGTACTCAGTGTCCTACTATAATCTCAACTACCAGAATTCCTAAAGTATCAGAGAGATGTCAAGAAAACCTCATTAAAAAAAAAAACCAACCAAACAAAAAACCCCAACCCCAGTACTACCAACAGACAGGTATTACAGAGAAGTAGATCCCTGTATTACTCAGGTTTGTACTATTTCGAAAGACGTCAATTTTAGACACATTAGGACACAAACTACCATTACAATAAAAAGATATTACAGGAACTGACAAGTTCCTCTTTTTTTGTAGGGAGCAGAAAGTCTAGGTTTTGCCACAAAACATCTTTGTGGTTACTTTCACATTCTGATTATGTATGAAAAAATTTCCTATGACTCTCACCTTTTAGCACCAAATCACAGGAATTTTCAATATCATTTGACATTCCAAATTCTTGCATGCATCTGTTTTGAACAAAAAGAGTATTTAAGATTTCCATCTTGAACAAAAACAAAATTAATGTACCACTTACATTAAGGTTCTCAGTAACAGTTTTAGCTATGGACAGAATCCTTACATACAACACACAAAGCACATAAAATACAAAGTAAGACTGTTCTTAACTTTTGGCTTTCTTATGTCCACCCCTACAGGTATACGCCTTAACATGTTAAGTAAAACCAAGACATTTCAAATCCCCAAATTTTCAGTAAAAGCTCATTATCTCATTTAATTAATAAAATTAGGAAATTATGGAAATACTGTGCTAATGAGCCAATTAATGAGTTTCTAAAAAATGAGATTTATAGCATTTTTATATTTGAGACCAGAGTAAATTTATATTCAAGATCATCTGCATAACAATATATCTTAAAGAGAGTCGCAAAAACATTTGTTCATAGATAGTTACTTCACCTATTTCAAGGATAAGTTAGGAAACAGTAACTATTTCTCCTTAGAAAAGCTCAGAAGTAAAAGTACATGTTGAAGTATTATATACAGAATATATAAAACATCATCAGCACAGATTTTGGAAGCTTGTACCTGGTGAATGACACAACATCTGACAGCAAGCTGTCTACTAAAATGCAACAAAGGAAATTTGCAACAACCTAGTGGAAATGAAAAAGTTCCACAGTATGTGTAACTTGGAACTATACAAACATTCAAGCACAGACAGGAGATATATTAAGAAGCAGAGTTTAGTAAGCTTCAGCAAGTTTGCAGAGATGGGAGGGATTATTACTATTAGAGCTCTTTGTAGGCTTATTTCCCCTCTCCCCCATATTTTATGTGAAATGTAAAGATGGAGTGATTTTGCCTACAACTACTAACTTTCTTTTTTGCAAAACTGTCATACAGACAGTTGCAGAAAGCTGTCATCTTCATATACATTGCTTAAAACTGAAAATATTTTACAGCATCAAGAGACTGAAATCTTCACATTCAGGTCAAAAGCCACTTTCCAATCTTTACCAGATTCTGCTAATTGTGCAGTGTGAAATAGTTATGGAATTACTTTATTACTGCTTGTACAGAAGGTACCTAAAACACATACAGAAAACCACATTTATTACAGTACTTGGCATTTGCTCACCAGTCTGACAAACCTAGGAGCACTGACAGAACAAGAAGTCATCAACATATTTTAGAGATGCAGAAAGGGAGATAGACCAGTCCATGTCAGAACGTGGGATGCTTTGTGGGCTTCTGGTGATTAAACAAACCTCTCTTTACAGTCCAAGTTACACATAGTCTTGTTTCCTATTTTGCATATGAAAAATGGATTCAATTTAAGGTTTTATTCAAAAGGAAAACAGTAAAACAACGAAGTCTCCAAAGGGCAAGAATGGCTCCTGATGCGCTTTCAAAGGTATCCACTGAACCTACTAGAGTTCTGTTGGGGCGAAATGACACAAAAGGATCCACCTGAGGTGTGCAGATTCCCCACATGAGAGGAAAGAAGTACCTCAGGCGATTGATTCAAAACTCTGCACTACTGGGAGTCACCAGGGGTAGGCAATAGAAAATTGTGAACAGAAGTATGCGTGAAAACTGAGTTTCACTGCCCTGCTCAGGCCACAGGCCAGAATCTTTTCGTGATGACTGGCAACTAATACCTGGAAGTGACCAGCACTCGCTCTTCTCTTCGAAAAATGCAAGCACCGGAGGAATGACCAGTCCTACTCATCCTAAAGGTCAGAACATGCTAACTGAATCAAACCATTCAGGACATACACACACAGAGCCTTTGCTGAACCTTCCCGAATAAAGACAGGACCTGTTTGTTCTACTTAAACCTACTTTTTCACAGATTCTGGGCATATGCACAAGTATAATTACAGTAGTTCAGAAATTTTAAGTCGGAGATGTGCAGCAACAGCCAAATCAAACCAGAACAAGACTTACCTGAATTTTGGACCTCAATCACTGTTCCAACCAGCTTTTGAAGGACAAGTGCTCTCGAAACTGGTGTTTTGACAAGCTGTTAAATCTCAGATTTTTGTTGTTGGAAGAACACTACAAACTAAGACACCAGTTGTTTCCTTTACATTGCTGTTAAACTCACAAGTAACACTCAACACAGTTTTAAAAAGCTTTTTAGCAACCCAGCTATACTTTTCAGCATAAGTTGCTTCTAGCAGAAACACAGTTCTTGCTGGTCTGTACCAATGCCAGGCTAAAATATCAGTACATAAAAAGTAACATACTAAAGTCCATTCCCATGCATACATGTACTAAATAGCTTTAGCAAAGATCTAGATTCTTTCTGTGATCATGCTCTTATTAAACTGAAGGTAAATCGTAACAGAAGCCATGTATTGATAACAGCTAAAGGAAATACTCAGCTTGCATTAATCTTCTATCTAAAATCACCTAGATGACATTCATCTAGAAGCAAACAGCTAACATTACCCAAATGTTAAACAAAACCTGTATATAAACTAATATTTATACAAGTTAGAGATGCTTTAGAATAGCAGAGTTCTGACTCATCGTTCTACCTGAACAGACTGGTGTTAGAAACTAATGCTGCAACAAAGCAAAACTGAGGATGCACAAAATAAGAAGCCAAACAAGAAAACACAGACAGTAGTCTAGACCATATCTAAAGAAAAAAAAAAAAGAACACGAACAGAGTCAGTATTTTAAAATATGTAGTATGATGTGAGTGTAATTCTAACAGCATAATCGCTTTTTTTTTAGTTGGCCAAACAAAGTTGAAGTGCCAGTTGTATTTGGTGAAAGTCAACAAAATAAACTCCCAGTATGAACTGGCCACGATCTGGTATTATCTGGGGATACCATAGTTTTATCAGGTAGTTTATGATAAGGTCTACTGCCTTATTTTAATGTTTTTAAATTCAATTCATTAATATGTTCCTGACTGTTACCAACCATGACTAGTCATCATCTAAATGATCTTTGCATCAAATTATGGAAGGCAAAAAGAAAAATAAGAGAATTTTGCCTGCCTGTTTCTTTAGCAAATTAAGGAGAAATTCTAATAAACAAGAACCATGTATTCTTATTTTCCTTGGCTAATGGTGAACAAATTCACAAGGATATCAGAAGAAAGCTGAAATTATGACTTCAAACAAGTTCATTTTTCATCTATCTAATAATCTCTAATGTTGCTCTAAGTCAATGTAATTACTAATTAAAGGAAGTATTTGCCCTTCCCTACAAAGCACTTACAAGATCCAATAAAATTCTCAGTTACTATTTAGGTAAATTGCAAACCATATTACCATAAACAATACATGAGCGTAAAGGGCTCGGAAGTTCTGGTCCTCCATTCTGTGCAACAACTGTCTGAACAGTCAGCTGGAATCCACCTCTGGACAGACATTATTACCCTGGGTAATAATGCAAAATGTACAAATACAGCAAATAATAATTCTGATATACAAAGATATCATAGACACTGTACCCAAAATGAATACTCATTCTAATAAATTTACTATGACACAGCCTAGCTGCTTCTCAAGAAGTTGGACGTTGCTACTACAGACTTGCCCTGTTCTCCAGAGGCTTGTTTTGGCAGAAATTTTATTCTTTTAACATCTGAAAGTTTTATATTCTTATGTCCAAAACACTGTTCATCACCACAAAAAAGATTCCTTTCCGCTTTTGCACATGGGAGTAGGAAAGCAGAGAGTAAAAAAAAACAAACAACAGAATGTATTTATAAGGTGGTTGGTACAACACCGAAAATAATTAAAACATTACACAAAATATGGATAACATAAAGCCACCCAGAAAGAGCACACAAAGAAAATCAAAACACCCATCCCAATAAGAAAACTAATTTTCAGAGGAAAAGCTTGTATTATTTTCTATCTAGACTTTGCGTTTTCCTTTGTAAGATGAAAAATTCAATCTTAAAACTCTTCCACTGAACACAAGTATCAAACCCTAGAGAGAAAACAGACTAGACAGTCAATGAGTTCATCTACTCCACGAAGAACTACTACCTCGTTTACAAAAGTTTGTTTCTACTTTAAACTTCTCTTCCTCTTTCAGTGACTTTTACTATCATCTCAAAACCCAGAAAAACATTAATACCTAATGATTTACACCGGGAACTTGTTGAATAAAGATGCAGGATCATAAACATCTGTAACACTTTAGCCAAGTTATGCATTTGAAAACTATTCACATGTCTGGGGATAGGAGAAAAATACGGAAGGAGAATGGCAGAATGGAATACTACTGTAGGGACAACCATTTACTCTTACAGATCCAGCAAAAAAATAAGGTATCTAGAAAGTAATAACATTTCTAAGTATTATACCACTTTACAAATAAGAAAAATGCCCCCCAAAAATCCGCTATCTCAAATCAGGTCATATTCAGAATATTACTTCCAATTATCTTTGTTTATATTTTCATATTTCACTTCACTTGGTCTAAATCAGTCCTTTAGGACTATGTTTTACTTCAATCCAGTTTATCCAAGCTCTTACGAAGAACAAATTAATTTATCTGCATTCAGAATACTGACATAGCTTAATCAAATTTGACACTTAGAAGCAACCCAGAAATTATTCTTTAAAGAAGCCTGACCACTACAACCAAAGTATATTGATATGAGAAAAAAGTACTTAGGAGTATTGTAAGAAAAAAAGAATTATATGCATACCCAGAACTATTCTCAACCAAATGTTTCTTTTCTGAGGTAATGGGAGACTTGGGCTTTGTGTCTTTAACGCAGATATTAGTACAGGACGCTTTCACTGGACAATTCTCACAGGCAAGGGCTAGCTCCTCTTCATTACTGGTTCCAAAAAGATCAGGGTCATCCTGAATCACATCAATGACAAGAATATCTTGCTTGTAAGCTTCAAGAATATCTGGTGAATTTTGACTTTTCTGTTGTGAAAGAATCTCTTTTGATTTGCTATCATCATTTATTTGCAATCCAACAGGGTGGTCAACTGAATTCCAAGAATGATCAGGAAAACTAGGTTTCAGCACACATTCAGAACCGGAGAAATCAGGCACAGATGACTCTGGCTGTCCATCAAGAAGAGGATGTCGATATGCAGAAAAATTTTCGGGGAGCACAAATATCCCATTTGAGAAGTTTTCAGAGCCACTGTGCTGAAAGTCCTTACTGTCAATCTGATATGCTGTTTTCTTTACAGAAGCTGTAGATGTAGCATCACTCATGACAGGAAAAGGGTGCTGCTCAGAATTTACCAGCACATTTTCTTCACCTGTCTTCTGTCTTCTTGAAACACCAGTGCTTTCAAGCTCAAGTGGACTACAGGTTTTTCTTTCAAATGAATGGACAGATTTCAATTTCCTGGATTCAGGTTTGTTTCTGCATAAAGGAATTCTGAATTTTGTCAGGTTTTCAGGGTTTAACCCTTTAATTAGCTTTAAATCAGAAAATGTCTGGTTCACTACTGACACTTTAGAGCTAAAGTTTATTCTATTTGTGTCACCTGTAGATTTACCTTTCTGGACTGTCACAGACAGGTTTCTTTTTGTTACATCTTCTTCATTTCTATCTTTTTGTTTTGTTGTACCCTTCTGGACTGTCATAGACAGGTTTTCAGTTGTTACATCTCCTTCACTTTTATTTTTTTGTTTTGTTGTACCCTTCTGGACTGTCATAGACAGGTTTTCAGTTGTTACATCTCCTTCACTTTTATTTTTTTGTTTTGTTGTACCCTTCTGGACTGTCATAGACAGGTTTTCAGTTGTTACACCTCCTTCACTTTTATTTTTTTGTTTTGTTATACCCTTCTTGACTGTCACAGACAAGTTTCTGTTTGTTACATCTCTGTCATTTTTATCTTTTCGTTTGGTTGTAAAATTCCAGGTTCCTTTAACTTCTTGCACATCATCATGGTTAAAAGCCAAACTGCTTCTATCTGCATTAACTGATGATTCCCCATTTTCATTACTCATTCTCGAAGTCTTGTAAATATCTACAGAAGAGGATTCTGGTGTTTCAAGTGAAGTCTGACATTCAGTATTTGGATCAATTCTTTTATGTGCAGATTCTTTTGTAGTTTCTGCCGATGACACAGGCAAATCCAGCTGTCTCAAACTCCCAGTCACAGCACTACCTCCTACAGCTTTAACACTGCTTTTATCAGAGGAATCCTCAAAGGCAGCTTTTAAAAGTCTTTTTCCTTCTGAGACGGACCCATGATTTTTATAAACCCATTCAGAAGTCCTGGCACAAGATTCAACAGGCCAAACTTTTTTACCAGTCATGGGTACTGCTCTTTGACAGGTAAACTGCTGAAATTCCTTATTCACATTGTTCAGTTTTCCCCCTGTCTTGCTTTTGTGACAGTCACAAGTATCATGGACCTGAGCTAGCGCTCTCAGGGTACCTGAGGTAGCTGACTGATGTGCCACAGTGCTTGAATTTTCTCCTTTTGCTATTACAGAGAGCTCAGATCTCTTCTTAACAGCATTTTCAAATGCAGGTACTTTGGTACTCTTCGTTCTCCAGGTTGATACATTTTGTGCTTCATGAGTATTTCTTCCCTTATGAAGATTTAATTCATGATCATGTGAATCTGACAGAGTATGATTCAGTCCTGAAACTGCAAAGGAGCTTGATATTGCAACTGCTGCTTCTGCTTGTAACTCACACTTACTGCATTTATTAGCCATGCCTGTGAAAGTATTCTGCACTTCTAATTTCTCTGCGATTTTCATCTTTTTTCTAGGCTTCCTACCAATATTCCACTTTTTTTCCCTTAAACACTTACTGCTTTCACTCAGACAACAAGAAAGACGGCCTTCTCCATTTTCATTTTTTTCTTCATTAGACGATAAACCACCTTTTACGGGTGATATCTCATTTAGCATTCTACTATTGCTGCAAATTGTATCACTCACTTCTACAGTACCATGGGCTACATGGAAGAATCCATTTAATTTATAACTGCTGGTAGTTCCACTAGTTGAAAGCTTCACTAATGTATTGATGTAACTACAGTCTTCTAATCTCACATACGGATTCTTTTCTGTTGCACAGAGCAAGCCACTACAATGTTTAAGGGCATTTCTGCAATGTTCAGCATCACATTTTACAGATGTGTTCACTTTTTCAGCTGCAGTCAAACTTTGCAAGTGCTTGATTTGACCATTTCTGGGTTTTCTTTTCTTAGGCTGACTTACTTTATACTGCACACCAGACTTTTTTGTTACAGCACGGGATAGAAAGCTCTTGCTTTGAGTCCCACCTAAAGCAGCAACCATAGGAGATTTAGAGTAGTGAGATTCCGTTTCCTTAGAATCTTCTGGTCTGTTTTGCTCTGTCTTTATATTCTTCACAGCCCGTGAAGTACCGGAATCTTGCTCAGTTGCTTTCAACTGCTCCTCTGCTGATTAAAAAAGCACAGAAAACACTAAAAGAGTACCCTATTGCAATATTTTATGAAGAGAACAACAAGAAAACCAAACCCCAACATTCAAGGCTACTAAGAACGTGACACTGGATAAGGCTAAGATATTTCTGTACAGTTTTACCATTTTTTTTAAATGAACACTACCAGCAGACTTAAAGTCTTATTTTAAGAAACAAATGCAAAGATTAACAAAACCTTAAGGCATCATAAGGACATTGCAAGTTGTAAATTTGTTATACATTCCACAGAGGTGGAAACCAAATTAGAGCAAGTCTGGCATGAAAATGCAGATGCTGTTTGCACACTCAGCCTTAAAATCTTTTGTTTACACAGTAGATTCTCTGTAATAGGAAAGCTTATTCAGAAGAATATATTTCAGATACAGAGTCCAACCAAATGCATTAGACTGAACAAGATCCAGCAAAACTACAGGACTTCCATTTTTATAGACTACTACTTTTTATTTCAAATACAGATTATGCAAAAAACAGTACATCTGAAAATTTAGACTAAAAAATGTACTCAAGAACACGCTAGTAGGTTTTTTTAGATCTTAGGTTTCAAAGATACAATTTTGATCTCAGTTTTTCAGAATATGGTTTCTAGATAAAACATTTATTAATAATCTACTGTAAATATTTGTCATTTGAATGTACCCACATTGAAAGTAAGAAGAATGTCTTTTAGACAATCATTGTGAAAAATAAAGAAACCTTTAAAAATCCCCCTTCAAAATTGTTCCAGTTTGATACAACAGTCACTTAAAACATGAAAGTACGATCATTGTTTCTACATCTTTTAGGATTTTAGAGAATAGCAATTAAAAAGCAAAAAGTTTTGGAAAAAAACTCCAGCATTCTGTAAAGGTAGGCACTGAAACAAGACAGAATGATACATATTCAAAAATAAATGGACAATATACAGATGAATGAAGAATTGACTTATTTTGGCTTTGCTGAAACTACTGCCTCCTTTCCTGCTTGTGCCTGACTTTCTCTGAAGGAATGGGCAGACTGCTTTTAAGAGAAGCAAATTCCAGTACTCCTTACCCAGGGCCCGTTGCTGCCAATATTCCTTCTCTCTCCCCCCCTCACCCTGCCTCCCTCCTGATACCCCCCAAAAGGTAACTGGTCTCCTCTCCTTTATGTTAAAGGCTGCTTCTCCTTCAAGAAAAGCCTCTCCTCTTTCTAAAAATCTGTTTTCTTCCAAGACTTCTATTCACAGTAGTTTAAAGCACACTCCAGCTCTTACCTCTACACTTCTTGAACTAAGTTAACAGCCAGTTTTTAAAGGTCATCCTGCAGCACTAGTCCCTTGTTCTGGGAGCCCAAATTCTGCACCTATACTTCTACAGCGGGGCTCTCCAAGTGCTTACCATTTTCCCCTGGGCTGTGTGCTCTTTTCTGAGGGACTGAGCTCTGCCACTCTTCTTTCATGCAGCGCTTGTATGTCTTTCGTCTGGTTGGTGGTTGTTCTTGTCCATCTACACCCTGTACCAGTGCATTTCTATCCCTCTTCCTCATATTCACAGGTCCTTTCCTGGACTCTGGACACTGTGCATGCAGTTCTAGCAAAACAGAACTACCTTTCTTTCTGGGACCGTATAGTTTTGTTTTCATCAGTGACATCCCGCCTTTCTTGCTCAAGCATTTCTTTTCTTTCTCCTGCGTCCCTAGTTGTCTTGATCCAACTAAAGGACACCCATTCAACTTCTCTGGTATATCAATCTCTTCCTGATGTTTTGTTTCAGTCATGGCTTCCCGACCCCCCAAATTCTCCCTAAAATCAGGGATTTGCCTGTTCTGCATCATCATTGAGTCAGTGCATTTCATTTCAGTACTCCATGTGACCTCTCTGGGTCGCAGCCCTTCCGGAAGACAGGAAATGCCATGTCTCTCTGCACTCTCAATTTCTTCCTCTGAGGATGGAATTTGTAGTTTTATATCCATACAGCCGTATTTTTCTGAACTCCTTGAATCCTCCTGGAAAACTGAGAGGTCCACGTGGTCTGAGCAATGTTCTTTCCTCTCAATCCCTTCTGAGAACTTATTCTGCAAAGCAGTTCCTGAGAAAAACAGCTGTTGACTTTGCCCTGTCCCTCTCCTTACAGTCTCTTCACAGCCTACTGCTGCACCCGTACCTGCTGCCTGTCGATCTTCACACTCGGCTGTGTCTGAAATTGGCGGAGCTACACCGCTGCCGCTTCTGGCAGCCCTCCTGTGCTGCATCCCCCTGTTTTTTCTACCTGGGAATTCCCGGCCGTTCTCACCTTGCTCCTCCTGCACGGGCAAAAGAGGAGCAAACTGCCCAAAGGAAGCGCTGGCGAGCCTGGCAGCTTGGACGCAGGTAGGTAAGGGCTGCTCTGGTTTTCTCTTCCGCGCCAGGCGAGGACTCCGGTTCATTACGAGCTTTCTCCCTGGCTCACACCCTGCACCCTGGCAGCCGGGGCCGGCGCCTTCCGAGCCAAACGGCCCCACCTCGCTAGCCGATACCATTTTCCCCGACCTCAACCGCGGCATCTCGGGGGCGCAAAGACAGCAGCATAACCCAAAAAACCCACTCGCAGGTGCACCCCAGTGAAAGCCCGGCACCCGCGGCTGGCACAGGCCCACCTCGTAGGGGAGCACAACCCCTCTCAGGCCTCACGGGTCACCCGAGGGGGCCCTGGCTGACAGAAAAGCCAGGCCGCTTAGGAAAAGCTCACGGCCACAGGCGAGCCCCTCCCGACAGCCCCCCCACCCCCAGCCCGCAACAACCCCTCATAGAGCAGGGCGGTGGAGGAAGCAGCCCCGCGCCTCCCCAGATTCAAGGCAGCCGCAGACCGCAGCCACCCGCGACACCCTCTCACCCTCTACCCTCGTCCACCGATCCGTTTCTCGACGCCTCCTCCAAGCGCCGCCTGCCCGCCCGCAGGGCCGAGATGCCGCCGCGGCGGGTAATGGCAGTAGCGGCGTAAGGGCGAGGCGCGGAGCCCTACAGAACCGGACAGAAGCCCCGTCCCCGCAGCGCTCGCCCTCCCGCCGAGTCAGCAGTGCCGCCCTCACGCCTAACCCCCACGGCCGGGGCGGGGCTCAGCATGGGGGTGGCAAGAGCGGCTCCTCCGCACCGCGGGGATTTGGTGTCGGCAACGCTGGGCCGGGTGGTGGTGCTGTGGTTTGGGTACACCGCCGTAGTGCTGCTCCCGTGTTGCCCGAGCCTCGTGCGAAGCTGCCGGGCCCGGCCGCAGCCGTGGCTCATGGGGCGCCCAAGGTAACGGGGTTCTGTGTGGAGCTGCCACACCGTGCACTTCCAAACGCCCGGCTCGCCCCGAGCTGAGAGCCGCGTAGGAAAATACCCAGGCTTGCCCGTTCCTTCAGGTGTTCCGTCCACCTCAGTGAAGCAGCATTACCTGCCTCATGCACAACGCTTCAGGAGCCCTCTGACTCTCCAACACTGAGGGGTCATGCACTTGTTCCACGGAATCACAGAATGGGTCAGGTTGGAAGGGACCACAGTGGGTCAGCTGGTCCAACCTGCCTGCTCAAGCAGCATTGTGTTCCTTAATATCTCCATTGGGATTGCTCTCTGGGCAAGCTCTTTCAGTGCACCCGCACAGTAAAGAAATTCTTATTCATGTTCAGGTGGAACTTCTGTGCATCAGTTTCTGCGAGTTGCTTCTTGTCCTATTGCTTGGCACGGCTAAGAGCTTGGCTCCATCTTCTTGGCACCTCTTTTTTAGATACTTACAAACACTGATGAAGTGCCCTCTCTGAAGGCTGAAGAGATGCAGCTCCCTCAGCCTTTCCCCTAAGACACGTGCTCCGGTCTCTTAATCATCTTTGTAGCCCTCTGTTGGACCTGCTTCAGAAACTCCGTGTGTGTCTTGTACTGAGGACACCAACTTTGTATTTAAAATAGCACAGATTCTCAGGGCTAGTGCTACAGAAAATATCACTCAAACAGATTATATAGTCAGAAAACAATAAAAGTCAATGTTTGGGCTTTGAGTGGGGGTGGTGATAGTTTCAACACAGGTGGAGAACACTAAAATTTCAGGGCCATCCACCATGTGATAACATAAACATATAGAAGTTAATTTACAAAACCAATGTTGTACAAAGATTCAATCTAAGCAGCAGGTGCTATGAAAATCACAAGTTATTAAACTTAATAAGGTGATACTCTAACGCCAACAATGCAATTGGCAAAATTGCACATGGTTGGTAAATGACCGTGTCCTGCAAGCAGTCCCTTTCTGTTCACAGGTGGTCTCTGAGGGATCAAGTGCCTTATTCAAATTCATTTCGCTCTGGCTTAGTGCTTTCTGGTGTTCACATCTAATTCATCCTCATTTTAGACCTGTGCATGGAAATAAGGTGCTCTGTGTCACAGCTTTCTGGAAGTGCAGTACAATGGATGTAAAACAGTAGTCGAAAGGGCATATTTTACTAATTGGCATTGGCTCGCTCTGTGACTTCAGCCCATGTAACTTTATCTCTGCTTCTCCATCTAGAGGTAGAGATAATACATCTTGGTACAAATAAAGACAGAGAACACTGGATTTTTGGTAAAAGCTCTTCATAGGTGAAGAAAGAGCAGACAGGCTGGGAAATTGTTAACTTTCGTTTGCTTACCATACATACTTAAGTACAACAAAGAAGTCAATGAGTGGTTAACTAAAGCTAATCAAAGCAGAAAATACAGATGTCTTAGTTTCTCCATTGGCTCTGTATCGTGCTTCAGGTCCTTGGGGCAGAAAGGACCCAATAAAAGGGGCTTAACAGCATTTATCATTGTCAGTGTTCTGCAAGGCCAGTATTACAAATGACATTCAGCTCTGACAAAACTTAACCATTTAACCTTCTCCAGTGTGTAACAGAATCTTTTAAGCTTGATAGCAAGATGAGGAAGAAAAAGATATGCTGAAAAGCAGTAGTAAAGAAAATCTGGAAGAATGGCATATAAATTATCTTACTGCTCTCCAGTATAATTTTTAAGAGTTTAGTATTTATTCAGTTATTTACAATGATGAGAACTCTACTCAAACCAGATTTTCATAAAATGAATAAAAATTTACTTGAAATGAATGCTAATTAAAGACATTCTTCATTAAAATCCTTTGGAAAAAGGGCTAGAGCTTCAGAAAGGACACTTTGAAGCAGCTGTGGATTATGTTAAAAAAAAAGATTGTATTCAATTTACAATAAGGCTAAAAAGAGGTAGTATAAACATTGTCTTGCAAAGTGGATCAATTTAATCATCTTTTAAAAATACTTGAAAAAAGAGATTTTTCATATGTAGACATTTAAAGAAATTCTGTGTCAAGTGTTTATTAAAACTCTAGGTTATTAAAGTGGAAATAACTTTAAAAAATAAACAACTTAAGGAGGAAAAATGAGTTATTTTCACATTGCAACAACATTTGAATTAATACTACTACAAGGAAATGTTTAAACTTTATTTTTAAATTACATATTGTTTAGAAATAAAGATAAAAGCTTGTTTCTCTTGAGTTTTGTAGTCCTGTATGTCAACATCTAAATGCCATATCTAGGTTTTAGAACTGATTCAACTTTTGCTAATGTATTGCTTAGTTTCAGTGATTTCTTGTTCATCATAGACACTTAAAGACAGTAATAGAAAGATGAGGTACTGAGTGTCTGAAAGTAAAAAGGGAATCCTAGTCCCTAAAAACATTTTTTGCCCAGAATAACCAGTACACTCAGAGGTGCCTGGCAATTTCCAAGCAAGCAAAAGGAACTTGTGTGACTACATTTATATAAAGTCCATAAAATTATTATTTTTTTCTCAGAGGAGTGTGTGCACTTAACTCCTGAACCAATGTAATTTACATTGCTACTGTGGAGAAACTGAGGCTGCAGATCCAGCAATGATACATTTGAGTAATCTTCCAGAAGTTTTCAAAAGATTGAAATTTATAAACATATAATCCAGCTACATAGGTGAGCAAATCATATAATTTTTTTGTTGGGCTCTATTTTAGACTTTGCTAATATACTCACCTAGCAATAGGAATTAAGTTGTCTTTTTTAGCTAGGGAACTGGAAAGAATTAACTTGAAAATGAACTGGGCTTTTTTTGTGAGGCAATGTGAAAAATGTCCCCCTGGACCACTTATTTTTATACTGCTTGCATCTTCATGCTTGACTGAGGGATAGATTTGTTATCTCTAGCAAACCTTAGTGAAAAGAGTTTGGCTGTGCTGTGATAACTGAGACTGAGCTCTGAAGAATATTCCTGATCTGTTACATTCTTAAAACACACCAAATTAAGCTCTTAAGTGATACAACTAAATTGAAAAAGGAAAAAGTTCTAGTCTAGCGTATTTAAGAACCTATCTTTTTTTAACCTCAAGGATTTATTCATTAACAGTTCTGAGCTACTGGGTTTGCAAAGGTAGAATCCAAAAATAGCAAACATTGCTATGATTTTTAAATAACTTCTTTATCCTCTGCTTTCCGTTCAAATACACGAGTGTTTTGGAAATAGGCGTATTGCTAATCTGTTAAAGTAAGAAGTGTTTTTTTTTTCTCAAGCCATTCATGTATATCCTTCTAAAACTGCCTTGGGTTTTCACTCTGAGGACTTAAGGCAGGAGCCACCTTTGACGCGGCATCTAATGAGAATCGTGCAAATTACCCATGTTGGGCTTGAGGTACAACGTGCATGTTTGATTCATGTTCTCAGTAGCTCACCTGTGTAGGTGTTGATCCAGTTTATACTGGCAGCTGTCTGCTTGTCTGCCCTGACATTATGAGCTCTGCTGGACAAGGGCCAGTACGGTGCTGAGAGCAGAGGTACCTCGGTGGAAATATGTGATCTGTTTTGTGAAACAGCTGAGTGATTATGCTGCATGGCATCATGATGGTAGACTGGATTCACCTGAATCCAGTGAGTAGCTGGATATCTCAACCTTTGTTTTGGTGTCTGTTTTTATTATAGAGCTGTACAGGGCAGAATAAAGTAACTTCTTTTCCACCAGTTTAAAATGAGTCAGTGGAGGAAAAAGGACAGCTGCTGTATTTCGTAATGAACCACCTGGCATTTGTTGATAGATCCTCTGATTCCTAATTTACTACTGAATTGTGGCAGCAAGAAAATCAAAATTATTGATTGTATGGAATCAATTTCCACTGGCAATTGTTGTGCTCCTTCGGTTTCTGTCAAAGGATAGTCATAGGAGGGATAAGGACCTCTCACACTGAGCTTTACAAGGCTTGAAAGTCATCTATACCACTTGCCTTTTTTTTGGTAATCATGCTGCTTGACATTTATTCTGGAAGACTGACTTTCCACATAATCACATCTGATCTGAACCTTACAGAAAGTGGCACTAATCAGTTTTAAGGTTCCACAAGGCAGCTCCTGTGTAAGGTTTGTATTCTGTTTTGTTCCTTTTCATTCATGGCTCTTTTTAAAACTTCCACTGCTAGAAGTTTAAGAAATAAACTAACTAGCTAGCTGGCATTAGAGATTCAAAAAATACAAATGCAGGAGAGAGATGCAGTAGAGGATTAACTACTCAAATAGAGGACTATGTTTTCAGTCTGAATTTATTTTAAAATTCTCTAAATAAAACATATGTTTGCTTTAACTAGATAATACATAACCATGTACCTACCACTAAATCTGCCTTTAGAATCAACTTCTTTTGGTGGCTGGATGAAAAAGATGTGGGACTTAGAGGAAAGCATCTGCACACCAGCAAGTACGTGACATCCCCATCCTCCTGCCAAAAAAGGTTATGAAGTGTGATTTCTAGATCAGAAAGTTAAAAAAGAAAGGGAAAAAGGAAATGAAAGTTGAGTTAATCTAGAAAAGGCATAGAATTAGTAATTGTAGGGGTGCAGTAAGGTGTAGATAGAATGCGATAAGCCAGTAGATAAACAGTGAAAACATTGCTAGAAAACAGAACAATAAAATGGCTTCAGAAAATC